AGCTACTTTATGCCCATCTGAGAAAAACACAGCACACATGTGGAGGAAGCCCTTGCTCTTATTTTGAAAGTTCGGCACCTGCTTGTGGACCAGCTCGCGGTCGTTGTTGCTCAGCTGCATGAGCTCTGAATATTCTGGACTGCTTTGGACCACAGCAGCTGGTTTTACTCCTTCTTGCAGGCAGCTGGAACCAGCTGGCTCTGGTGCTTCACATCTCATTTTACTTCCCTGCAGGACGTCCTGCTCAGGCCGCTATCTCGAGCTCTGCAAACTTCAATGGCACCGCTTCAGACCACAGCTGCTGTTACCTAATTCTTCTTCTGCTCAAACAAAACCTGCAGCAGCTGGAAAATCATCGAGTTCTCTGAGTCTGCAGAGGATGATGAGGACTGCCAGCAACAGGAGAGGATGGACCGGTTAACGAGCGTCCACGGGAGCCGATTATTGCTTTAATATGCATGGCATGAAGTTCAGGTCACAAGTGTGGCGCAGTTCCTTTTGCAAGCACAAGCATGCGTCGCCTGCACAGCTAAGTGTTTGAAGTATCTGCGCAGGAGTAAAACATGAATACTACTGCAGAAGGCGTGGGCGTGCGCACCGTCAAGTACAAACATCTGACTCTCCAGCGAGCCCCTGACTGTGTGGATGAGCACACGAACTTTCAAAATAAGAGCAAGAGTCACCAGATACACCTGGAGAGGCCAGCTCATGTAAAGTCACCCTTCTCTATCTAATGTGCACAAATTCAAATGAGGTGGAGCTAAGAGGAAGTGATGCAACCCTTCGAGCACCACAAACCGCTGCTCCTTTGTGCGCAGTCAGAACAGCAGACACACATACCTCAACACCACCAAACCAACACTGACTGCCTCCACCCTGTTGCTGCAGCTCGCCACACACCTTGTACCTGCTCAATCTGCCTCAGCTCAGCTCAAACACCACCTTAGCAAACAGGATACCGCAGCTTGGGGAGGAGAGAATTCCACATTTTGTTTTTTTAAATACACAACTTCTATTACTGAAAAGTTTAGAAACTTTTGTTAGACTGGGAAAAAAAAATCCCCTGCTGATCATCTGAGGGAAAAATGTGTGTATCTAATAAAATGGCCGCTAACGTTTAAACTCACCTCTACGAGGTTTCATTTCCATTTTCTGCTGCTGACTTTGGCTGGCTTTTAGATCTCGACCTGGACCCTCTCTTGGAGGAAGGGGTGCGGCTTCTGGACCTGGACCTGGATCTGGACCGGGACCTAGACCTGGAAGGAGAGCGCGCCTTGGTCTTCTTGGTCCTGGGAGAGCGGGACTTGGACCTGGAGTAGGACCGGGACCTGGATCTGCTGTAGCGGGACCGGCTTCGAGAAGGCGTGCGGCTCCTGCTGCGGGATCTGCTCCGTCTCCTGCGTCTCGGGCTGGGGGAACAGCTGGATACATTCAGTGGGTTGAGTTACAGTCAAAGAAAAAAACAGCTGGATCTGAACTGAGGAGAACATGAGCTGCAGGGCTGGAGCTACAGTGAGCAGAGCTGGCAGTCAGGAGCCATCTGGTTCTCCTGGTTAGCTCTGAGCCTCCAATCAGCTGGTCTGAAGAAAACTTCCGGTCTTTATTTTAATCAAATAACTCAAATTTCTGGATAATTAAATGCAATCATTGATAAATGGTGGGAGTCTTAATTACAGTGTTGTGGGGAAAGTAAATGATCCACATTCAGTCACGCTCGCTCTGCACACCAGAGATCCGGCCTCTCCTTACCTTCTGCTCCGCCGTCCGCTGTACCTCCGGCTCGGTCCTCCTCCTCGCCGTCCTCCGCCGTAATGGGAGTCGGGGGTCTGCCGTACCGGGCCATCTGGACCCGCAGCTCCCGCCCGTCCAGCAGCGCGCCGTCCATGGCGTCCATCGCGTCTTCGGCGTCCCGTTTGTCGTGGAACCGAACAAACGCGAAGCCCCGGCTTTCCTTGGTGTAGCGGTCTCGCGGGATGTAGACGTCCCCTACCCGGCCGTACTTCTCAAACACCCGGCGGAGGGCTTCGGGAGAGGTCCGGTACGTTAGATTGTCCACTTTGAGGGAAGTCATGCCGTCGACGTCCGGCGGAGGCCTGCCGTAACTCATGCTGCCTGGCGCGAGAGGCCCGGGAAGCTCCCAGAACAGTCCGGAAAGTAACACAGATTGCGCCTGCGCGGCTCAAAACGCTACGCAGAGACAGAACGGAGCGATTTAAGCAGAATCTCGCGGATCTGGCTCAGTTTACTGCCGCCAAAAACACAGAGCACGCCACAAATTTCTCCGAACCGCGCCGAGCCAGCAGCGACTAGAGCTTCTTCTTCCACGCGGAAAACAAACGGAGTGTAATCCGCTCCCGAGCGCCACGGTGCGGTGATTGCAGTCTTTACACTAAACACGAGGAAACAAAACAAGATGTTTTTATTGGGTCATTCTACGATGTTATGTTCTCTCTGATAACTTAACAACCCTTTTAGTGGAAAGCTACAACTGTAGCTGCCCCCACCAGTGTGTGAATGCGAGAGTGAATGAATAGTGTTATTATAAAGCGCTTTGGGTGCCTTGAAAAGCGCTATATAAATCCAATCCATTATTATTTATGTAGTGAATTATGTTGTTGAAAATTTGATTTCAAACTGTTGTCTAAAACACAAAATAATTCCTGAGAACTTCCAGAATGGCATTTTCTCTTATCTCTCTTATCCCAACTTCCAGAAAAGCAAAGTGCATAAAAAAATAACAAAATAAGTTAAAGTTCACCTTTAATTGTGTTGATATCTCTCTTATAACTGTTTATCAACATCTTTTATATAACAGTAATCACAGGCTGTAAGTATCCCACAACATACATGCAGCCCTGTTACTGAAGCCTGTAAAGAAGAAACAAAACAGTGAGACTACAAAGTCCTGCGCTGACACCAGACGTAACCCAGAGACAGTCCTCTTTGATATATATTAGTTACAACATTTATATGTATATTTATTACTTTTGTAATAGTTTGAGCTAATATAATAAATTGTGTATTTGAGTAAAAATTTAAAAAATCAACAACCCTGAAATTAATAAATACAAAAGCCAGTGTAACTATTGAGAAGTTGGGCTAGGTGCATTTTGAAAGTGTCTGACTCTGATAACAATGTCATTAAAACTGTTTCATTAAAAAAAAAAAAAAAAAAGCTTAGCTTTGATGGATATAACTTTTTTTTATTTTCACATTCATAAATGTAAATTTCTAAACAGAAAACCTTATTTCCTTATTTCCTCACCTTTATGATGGACGTCCACAACTTTAATTTAATAAGCCCTAATGAAATTATGTTTTAACACTATCAGACTTCTAATTAAAGACACAGTTAGAACTTCACTAAACTAAACATTAGTTCATTCATTCATGCTTGATACAAAAGCTTCTTCAGTTTTTAAGATAAGATAAGATAAGATAAGATAACTCTTTATTGTCATTGCACAGTCATACATAGTACAGTAGTACAATGAAATTGGAAAAACTGTCCTACGTCGGCACTACATATAACACAACACGACACGATATGACACATCACAACGTAACAAACAACACAACACAGTATATTAACTTAGTATAAAAAAGAAGAATAAGTGTATGTGTATTGCACACTGTTATTATTGCACATTAATTATTATTGCACCTTGTTATAAACATAAATATTATTGTTATCGTTTTAAACATTGTTACCTCCCCCTAAAAAGTCCAGGGAGGTATCCAGTCAGGTCAGCTATTTGCATTGATCAGGGCTATTGCCCTGTTGTAAAAGCTGTCCTTGAGTCTATTTGTTCGGGACCTCAGCAGCCTGAACCTCCTGCCAGATGGCAGCAGCTTAAACACCCGGTGTCCTGGGTGTGTGCAGTCCCGTAGGATGCTGCGTGCCCTCTTGAGACAGCGAGTGCTGTACAGGTCCTTCAGGGAGGGAAGAGGATGTCCAATGATTTTTTGGGCCATGTTGATGACCCTCTGGAGTGCCTTTCTGTGTGCTGTGGTGCAGCTGGAGAACCACACACCGATGCAATATGTCAGCACACTTTCAATGGAGCAGCGGTAGAAGACGGTCAGCAGCTCCTTCTTCAGGTCCATTTTTCTGAGGATTCTCAGAAAGTGGAGACGCTGTTGGGCCTTCTTTAAGACCGCAGAGGTGTTAGAGCTCCATTGGAGGTCTGTGTCTATGTGCACACCCAGAAACTTGAAACTGGAGACCCTTTCCACGCACTCCCCGTTGATGCTGACAGGCTGCAGCTCGGACTTCCTCCTTCTGAAGTCAACTACCAGTTCTTTTGTTTTGGTGGTATTGAGGTCCAGGTTGTTGTCTGCACACCAATCTGACAGCCTCTGAACTTCAGCTCTGTATGCAGTGTATGCAGTTTTGCTATTTTCCTCTTGTTTTCTGCTCCCACTCACGCACTTGTCTCTTTTGTGTTTAAGCTCTGATAAGTATGACTGTATTGTATTTATTTTAAGTTAATGAGTTTGCACTTTGTTCTTTCTTCGAATAAAGATCTATATTAAAAAATTAAAACAACAACAACAAAAACTCAGAAGCGCGGTTATCCCACAGCAGAAGCTTACCTGTGTGTAGAAAAAGCAGTAGGTGCTGATGATGCCACACCTTCAACCGCCACAACCTACTGCTGGCTTCATGCCCCAAATCAAGATGGCGGATGTCGTAAACTGGACAATGTGATGTCCACGTTGCAAACATACAGTTTTTTCGTGCGTGTGTGCGTGTGTGTGTGTGTGAGAAAAATAATATAAGTATAAATATAAGTATTTTACGAACATTTTATTCTACAGCTCCTCAGACGCCTAATCATTCTTCTGGACGAACTCGAGAGCTCCCCTACAGAACAGGAAACCCAGACGGTTTAAATATAATAGATGTAATATTAAAAAGAAATAAAACGGAAACCAAGAGAAACGCCTAGCTCGCGGGTTCCACAAGAGCGGGTTGCGTGAGTTTCTTTCTGCGCATGTGCACGTTTTTAGCCGTTTCCTTGTAGCAGCGCCTGTTAGCCTGTCAGCTGATTTCACTCACATGACTCTCGTTTTAGTTTCAGGTCAGTCCTGTTTATCGGTGCTGTGAAAGGGCTCCGGGAACCAGCTTTCCACGGCGGAAACATGGTGTTAAAGTTGGTTTAGGATCCGAACGGTGATAATAAATGGCTGCGGGGGTTCCCACGAAGAGCTGACCGACTGAGTGAGGAGAAAAGCGGGCAGGTTAGCTCAGCAGCGTCGGCAGATTTGGTGAGCTGATCACGGCTAATTTTCCGGGCACAACTGCTCTGTAAGCGTGACACTTAAAAAACTAAAAATAGTCTCTTGTCATTGGAAATAGTCTGGAGCATTTCCGCATTATGCATTTCTAGCAACGAGCAGCAGACCGAATCTCGTTTAGAAATGTCTAAATTAAACGCTCTTTCCTATAAAAATCAGATAGCACACAAGTGAGAGCACACAGCTGTGTTCATTCACCCCAGACGGTCTTCTTTATAATTCGGCGTACATCACATCAGTCACACTACACTGCTTTGAAGGCAGTGTTGCTTTTTATCTTAATTCTTTATCAAACAAACGCAGAAAATGGGTGTTTGCGGTAAAACAGGCGGGATTTAAATGTCGCTTAGTTTTATTGCTGTTGACTGATTAAAGCTTCATAGAGATATATTCTGACATGTACTTCTTTTGTTTCTATTCTCAGATGAGCTCTTCACACCAACAGTAGATTATTATTATTATTATTATTATTTTTGGTTTTTACTTCCTCTGGGAGTTCAGATAACCTCCAGAATGAGTCCAGAAGGGAAGAAGCTTTTAAACATCATCATCCTCGGTTTCGGCTTTATGTTCATGTTCACAGCCTTTCAGACATGTGGCAATATAGAGGTAAGTTTGTCACTGACCGCACTTCTGTCAAAATTAAGTAAACTTTACATATTATAAGTCATTTTTTCTTTATCTTAACAGCAAACAGTGATCAAGAGCTTCAACAGCACCGAGTTCCACGGGAGCGGATACACGAGGTAAACAAGTGTCGGCTGGTGGCACTTTCTCAAATCGAATCAGTCGCGGCCAGAAAGCGCTGAGGGGTTAATTCAATCTAAGGTTAATCTTATTGAACCGTCAGAGTTTTCAGGAACCTTCCAGAAACCAAGAAGTGAGGAGACCATAATCACCGTCAATTATTTAAAGCTTCCAGCTGATTTTAAACAGTGAAAAGACGTCACATTAAAGTTTAAAACGGAGACGTTTCACTGTTTTTGTTGTTGTTGTTTTAAATCTATACTCATTTCAATTCGGTGCCAGCAGCAGAAAAAAACAGAAAAGCGTTCAGATGTCTGCAGAAGGCTCAAAAAACAACTTTCACCAAAAAAAACAAGCTAATGAAGGAAGTTGTTAACTACCAACCATGTGATTACAACCACATTTCCCATGATGCCGTATGAGTGGATCAAGCAGATCATCCGGAGTTTGTCAGTGTTCTGTGACCAAAGAGTTCAAGAGCATTTAGATGAAGTAGAGGGCTTCGTTAGTACGTAACGTTAACAGAGGCACAGCCTTGAAAACAGCTGATTGGTGGAAAGCACTGCAAGGCCGTCAGCAGGAACCTAAACCGCTCGTTTTTCTTCTGTGCTGGTGGTTTAAAGTTTGGTTTTGTGCACTTCGCGTGGCTTCAAATTTTAAAAATCCATCAATTAAAGCGAGGTGCCTGACTGTGCTCTACCTCTCGCAGCATGGCCATCATCTATGGCGTTTTCTCTGCATCCAACCTCATCGCCCCGTCGGTGGTGGCGGTCATCGGGCCCCAGCTCTCCATGTTCTTCAGCGGGCTTTTGTACAGGTACCTGCACACTCGCATCCACTCTTTTCCACCCCTTCAATAGAAAGCAAACCTCCTAATTCATGCACTGTCGTCTTCCACAGCCTGTACATCGCCATGTTCATCTACCCGTACACCTGGAGCTTCTACACGGCGTCCGTGCTGGTTGGAATAGCAGCAGCAGGTAAAGCAGCAGCATCCCTCTAGCCCTGATATTTGGAAAAGAAGCTTGGTCTGTGCACATATCTGACATTTTGATTTCTGCACTCTAGTGCTGTGGACAGCTCAGGGGAACGTCCTCACCATCAACTCCACGGACAGCACCATTGGAAGAAACAGTGGTATATTCTGGGCGCTGCTGCAGTTCAGGTAAACCTTCAGGAGTACATAGTCAGGATATAAGCGTCGATGACTCCATGTTGTCCCCAGTTCGGTCTAACAGCCAAACCACTGCCGTACTTTCCCATAAACCTCAGAACGTTTCAGATTCTGCTAATTACCACGTCAGCAGGCAGACCATAGACTGTATATAAAAGATGGATGTAGGTTTGGGGTCTGCCTGATGTCCAGCCGGGGGCGACTGTTGTGCCTGTAATAAGAAATCTGATTGGATATAAGCCTTACTGTCACTATGAACAGGTCAGAGGTCACCCAGCTGTACGGGAACCACGGTAACGATGGCGAGCTTTATGGCAGAGCATGTTCAGTGCAGCATGCTGGTAAATATGATACTGTGGTGCTCGTGAACAGCTCTCACCGTGAGTGGCTCACGTGAACAGGAACGGTGGATTCTGAAACTCATGACGCTCTGTGGGAAGTTCAGTCACATGATGATTTCTGTGCACGCCTTTTTAAACATCCTCCCTCCCTCTCTCTGCAGCTTGTTCTTTGGAAACCTCTACATCTACTGCGCCTGGCACGGACACGTCCACATCACAGGTCTGAATCCAGCCGTTTTCTTTGAGCTCTCTGCCTCACACTTTTATAGCATTAACTTCCTGTGTGGTCGTCTCATGAAAAGCGTCTGACTCATGCTGTTCCTCTCAGACAAGGACCGGCAGACGGTGTTCATCTCTCTGACGGTGATAAGCCTGGTCGGCTGCTTCCTCTTCTTCCTCCTCAGGAAGCCTGATTCTGAATGCTCTTCCTCTGCTGAGGCGACTGAGCCGCTGCTGCAGGAGGAACCCTGCGACAACACCGCAACCAGGTGAGCACTCAGGTGACATTATGGTTTGTGTCTGTGTACGCAGAGGCGTGTGCAGCCTCGTGGGTCAGGCGCTGATTGGATGGAACAGGACGAGGAGCAACAACAGAGCAAAAAAAACCCCAAAAACGCTCAAAGATCACGAGAGACTGCACACGCCGCTGCAGCGGGACTCTCGTTGTTTCAACCTTCAGCTCTGTTAGAGCGCCTCTTCACTGCCCCCTGCTGACAGAAAACAGCTACAACATGCAGACTGTGGTCTGCAGGCGTAGGGCCATCGCTCAAGAATGGAACGGATGTCATTTGGGTGACTGAGTTCAGGAAAAGATGGAGATGTCTCTGCGTGTTGCTTTTTGTTATTAAAGACCTGGAAATTATGCATTTCAACAAAATTCAGTTTTATTTTAAATAATTCTGCTTTTTAAGACTTTATTGTGACAGAACGGTGGACAGGCGGCAGGGAAAGACGCGCAGTAACACCGTTTCTTTTTCGTTTCTTTTTTTTCTTTTTCACTATGACCTACTTCGACTTCCTGGTACCAGGATTTTTTTTTTTATAATGCCTGCTCAGCCACTGATTGGTCAGGGAGGGACGTGACTAGAGGAGTCATCAGTGGGGCCATCAAAGCTCCATTTTTAAAAAAGAAAAAAAAATCCAGCAGTGAAGGAAGTGTGTGCACGCGCTGCCCGCCGCCTTCGTGGGCTCTCGTGTTTCATCCTGGGAAAAAGCTGCAGAGCGAGCAGCAGGTGGACCCTTAGCTCGATGTCCTCCATTGTTGCTCGTGTCTCATTGAAATGAGGGCACAGGACTTTCTGCCCGCTTTGCCTTAATGACCCAGTTGGAATGGAAAATGAGTGAAATGCAATAGAGCTGAGTCGAGTAGATGCTAGCGGGAAATGACCCCGGTGTGGATTCAGACCCCACCTCTGCATCAGCCTCACCTGCTCCACCCGGCGAGCGTTCACGTGTTTACGGCTGCTACAGAAACACATCTCCCGATGTTACACTCACTGACAAATATATGGAAGCTTTGAGCGTTTTCACTGCTGTCGTTGTGGTTTAAAACACAAACAGGCTGTGATGTGGAGTGGGCGGGTCCGACTGTGAAACTGCAAGCTCATTGGCTCATCACTGTCCAATCACACAGATTGGCTGCACGTTCAAACACGGCCTGGGATGGCTTCACTTCACTTAGACACGAAGCTCTGATCTCAAACAGTGAAATGATTCGTAATTTAAAGAAAATGAGAAAAATGAGGGTATGGAAACTTTTTCTCAGTCATTAATAATTCAGGTGATCAGTGTGCTGCGTGAGTTACAAGTACATTCAAAATTAAAATTGAGATGCGTTTTAAATAAGAGCTCCGTGTATTATGGGAAGTAGATTGTTAATGTTCAGGAAAATTCTTTTTCTTTCTTTCCCCTTAAAAGCTGGATGGGTGCCGTGGTTCTCTGGTCCACGGGAGGAAGGATAATTATTTCAGAGGGACTGTGGAAATGAGACGGGCGACCTTTAACTGTAAACACCATCCTTTGTGGTCTTTTGTGCATTTCTTGGGACACCGTCTCCGGGATACCAAGGCGGCTCAGGAAGGAGGGCCCAAATATAAATATGAACCTTAGAAGGTCGAGGGGCCGAAACTTTCACGGTGACTGTTTAAATGAGCATGATGGACCTCCCCCTCTCTCTCCTCTCTGCAGCTCGGGATGCTCTCACCTCTGCTCTCAGGCGCTCGACGCGTTTGGTGAGTTTCTGAAAAAATACCCTCGCTTTCTCGCTGTAGCTGAAACGTCCCGAGCGGCGTGTTAACCTCTGCCGTCCTGTCTGCAGTCAAATCGTGTAAGCTGTTCATCACCAGAGAAATGCTGCTGCTGGGCGTCTCCATCGGATACACAGGTGGGTGGAGACGAGCTGGGCGAGGAGAGGACGGTCTCCTCCTTTAAGTCACAATCAGATATGTGTTATGAAAATAACTGAATGCAAAAAAGCTGCTCAGTGCACATTTAAACACGACTGATACTGAAGCCCCTCGAACTGACCCGATGCCTGCGGCTCCGTCAGGTTTGGAGCTGACCTTCTACAGCGGCGTGTACGGCACGTGCATTGGCGCCATGATGAGGTTCGGCCAGGATGCGAAGAGTTTGATCGGGATCTCTGGGATCTGCATCGGCGTGGGCGAGATATTAGGTGAGTCATCTTCATTCGTCTGAAGGGAAAACGCCGCAGGGCGAGAACAAGGAGACGAGCTGAGTGTCGGGTCTCTCCGTCAGGTGGTAGCGTGTTCGGGATACTGAACAAACGCATCGGCTTTGGGAGGAACCCCATCGTTCTGCTCGGGTTCGTCACCCACATCATCGCCTTCTACCTGATTTTCCTCAACATCGCCAGCGACGCTCCGCTGGCCCCGGAAGAAGGAACAGATCTGGAGGCCTTCATCACCCCCAGGTAAAGAAAAATCACGTGAGGCGCTGAGGTGTGAGTCATAACGACAAAATTGACTTTTAAAAAAATAATTTGTTATCAAACTAATAAAAAAGGAGAGATGTTGATGAAAAAATATAAAAAGGTTTTAATATATGATTATTGATAAATGTGTGTGCATTTAAAATAAAATCGAAATGACTGAAATAATGCAAATGAATGGTTGTTACCTTTTCACAATAAAAGCCTTGTTCTCTTTCCCCGGAGCCTCCGTTACGAGCCCTCTGACTGTGTTCAGACTTTGGTTTTCTAAACTTATTTAAACGATGCTGTCGGGTTAACATTACCATTTGTGTGCCTCAGCGTGGGCGTGGCCTTGTTCTGCAGCTTCCTGCTCGGTCTGGGTGACAGCTGCTTCAACACGCAGCTCCTCAGCATCATCGGCTTCATGTTCCACGACAACAGCGCCCCCGCCTTTGCCGTCTTCAAGTTCATCCAGGTGACACAAACGCTGAACAGGAGAGTGTATTGTTTTACAGCTGAGTTTTATTTTGAATTAACCTGTGTTTGTCATTTCCTGTGCAGTCCATCATGGCCGCTCTGGCCTTCTACTACAGTAACTACCTGCTGTTGCACTGGCAGCTGCTCATCCTGGTCGTGGTGGGGTTTCTGGGCACGATAACCTTCTTTAAGGTGGAGCACATGGCCAGCTCCAGCAGGCGGCAGTCGGACTACGACAGTATCTGAGCCGGGCCGGATGACGAGGGCACAGCTGGAGTTTTTTCGCTCTCCACTGCTGGAAAGGAAAAAAACCTCGCCCAGGGACGACCGGCCCACAGACTGATCCTAGCTGTGGTACATTTAGATTCTGAACCCGGGACCAAACGCTCCTCCTGATCTCAGCATTTACCCAATTAAATCAAACGGCATGTGTGACGGTGGTGTGCACGCCTCATATACCTCGTTTAGTTTCATAACCAGACTCCTCCTTCTTGTGCACTCGGTCTGTAAATAAACTCTATTCAAGGCAAAGAGAGTAATAATCCCACTGCTCGTGTTGGCGTCACGCTGTTAGTCCTCCTTCAGTGGACCAACTTCCATCTTGACAACAAATTCTGTGAAAAGCCCTCGGTCATCTGTTAGAAACATACAGGAGAGCTCCACGGAAACCACACCCACCTGAGGGGGAAAATGGCGTCCAGATCACTGAGCCAATCACTGAGCAGTTTTAAAAGGTTAAACATATTTGTAGGGTTTTTTCTGGATTTGTTGACAAGAAGAAAAAGGTTTAAGTTAAACGTCTATACTCTATCTGCACAAATCCAGCTCTGGTTACAGCCAAATACTGAAGGGTTGTCACTCATGGGTGTCTCATAAATATTTTCTTCCTTCTAATGTTGGAGTGAAGCGGTCACAGACTGCGATTCACGCCACATGAGGCAGTTTTACTGTTCTCGGCTGTTCGGCTTTAAAATTAAGCCGTTTTTATTTAAAGAGAAACAAAAAGAAGTCACTTCTTCTGGTGTCAGATCCACGTTCACCCCTCGTCTTCTGTTCTTTTACACGACTGGTTTCGCTGTAATGAGATCCGTGTCGTCAAAGTGCATCTCTGCGGTCCAGGAAGCAACTCCGAATCAGGCGTGGCTGACGCGCTCGGCTCAGACTGCAGAGCAGACGATGTTCTGTTCGTGCCTCTAAGGACAGGAAAAAGTTTTTGTTTTTTTTCTTCCTCATCTTTGCTGCTTTTCTCACCTCTTCGTGTTTAACAAAAAGAAAATAAAGTCAGGGTTTTTGGGGTTTTTTGTTTTTTTTCTGCGCTGATAGTGGCGGACAGAGTTGAAGCTACACAGACTTTGACCTGAAGGGGCGTCTCAGTGATTTGGTATCTCTAACATTTGGTGGCTCACACGGGTAGGTGTCTACAGTAAAAAGAGAGGGAAAAATGCTTGTTCCTACAAATCCCATAATGCAACATCCACTGAACTGTTTTTCCCTTCCTCGTAAAGGCACCCTGTGCAGTTTTTGCCCACTAGGGGGTGCTATTTGACTTAGTTTGAATAACTTTTGGTAAACGTGACGATGGAGGTGCCACCAAAAACATGAGAAACAATCATGGGGAGATATCCAGGGTTTTCCTGCATATAGGGGTGAAAAATCTGTCCTTCCACTAAAAGAAAATCACCAAAACTGATTGTTTTTAACAGCTTTTACTCTAGAAATAAAAAAAAAAATGAAATGGCCAATAATAAGAGGACATGCACTTATTAATGTGGTCTAAGGAAATGCAGACTTTTTACACTGACTGTACGTAGAGTGGTCATGCCTACATGTGCAGCTCACTTCCTTAAACCACATTTTAACTCAACCAAATGAACTTCAAAATTTCCCCATTTAATATTAATGATCGAGATTAAAAATATGATTAAACTAAAAGAACACAAATATAACAAACTGTGCCCTCGTTCATCTTTCTACTCGTCATCTGACTCCCCTCTGCCCGTCTTGAACTGAACTTAATCGTTCCTTTGGTTCAGGTTTAGTCAAATGATAAATTCTTGTTTAAAAATAGTTAAAGTGCCACAAAATGAGTCGAAGCAGTTGTGATGTTCTGTTAGATGGTGCAGTGAGTTGGTATAGCCTTTAACCAGTTAAATCATCATGATATATTCTCACTTATGATGGTGGACTGTAGCTCAACACGTGAAAACACTGCCACCTAGTGTCTGCAGCGTGCACAGGGTAATCACAGAAGGTATCTTTATTGAGGTCAAGCCTGTCTGGGCTGCTGCTCAGTGCAGATTCACAGTTTCACTCTGGTTTAAACTGATGTGACGCCAAACAGACACAGCGTGACATTTGAGCCTTAATGCTTTTTGTAATGTTGCCATGGTGACGAGGAGCAACTTCAGACATGCTGTAGTTTCTTTTTTTTCCTGTTCCAAGTGTCAAACAACGAATGGCCGTACACTATTGTAGTTAATTTATTGCTGGGAGTCGGGTTTGCTCAACTTTGGTTCATGTTGCTACTGCAGTGAACGCAATCAAAGGATAAATAAGGGAAATGTACCAAGATGATGATTTTATACTTGAATGTAATTAAAAATGACACCCAACCTTCTGCCTGCATGTTTTTCTTGTCAATAAAATACTGTTTTCTGCATTCATTGTGTTTACATGGAGAGCTCCACAGCTTTAAAGACGGAAACACGAGATGATCTGAACAGAGCCGTCGGTCACTTCAAACAAACCTGGATCTTCACTGACTTTTGAGTTATTTGTGTGTGTGACGCTAAACCAAAGAGAAGTTCCTCTAATGTCCACAGGAGGCTCCAGCAGTAAGTCAGTCCCCGCAGACTCCTGTGTTAAACCTCTGCAGCAGCAATAATCATGCTTACTGCCTGATACACAAACTGTTCTGGGAGAGAGCTGATGTGTTTCCAAGGGTGATGGAAACTGAAACTCAAGAAAAAAATCTAAAAGAATAAGACATCTGTGAGCTATATCAGCTCTGTGATATGAATGATTTTCACAGTGATTTCAGAGCAGACGGTGATGATGTGAGTCTGTGTTTTTCTTCTCTACTTATAGAGACTTTGGCTGCGAGTTATTTGCCTTCAAATATGTCCTTTTATTGTTCATTTTATTATGATACTCATTAAATAGCTCCCCTGACAAATCCTACCCATGCCACATAAAAGAATACGAAAACCTGATGCAAGTGATTAAATCTCATTTTCAACAAACCAAAAACTCAACAATCAGTTTCTCCGTGGAAGCGAAGTAAAGCTGGAAACTGAAGATAAAAGTGAAGTGTAAACTAAAAACGATTAAAAAAAATAAACTCATCCTAAAATAGTCCCGGACGTGCTTTCGTTTCCATTCGAGAGCTCTCAGAAATCCGCTTTTCCTCAACACAGCCTTAGGGCTGCTTGTTGCCTGGCAACAATCAACGCTACGAGCTTTCCAACGTGGGACTGCCGCGCGACGCGACGTCAAGTAAGAGTAAACGGTCAACACCACATCCGGTTACCGTCTTAACAATAAAAGTATAACTGGTAAATATTGCTGGCAAGATTCACAACAGAGCCGAAAGACGTGGCGCTAATCTGCATATTTATATAATAAAACCGGTCATGTTAGCATGATTAAGATTTTTGTTTCCACAATACGGGTTTTAGTTTGCATTCAAACTTTATTTTGAGAGGTCAGCGTTTGTGCATCCGGCAAATATGGCTAGCTTGTTAAGTGGGGGTTGCTGTTTTCTGTTGAACGTGACGAGATTCCAGCACAAACCCGAGATTACCGCCGCTGGTGGGATGTCTGGCTGAAACACCGGAAAACCGACTCTAGGGAAAGACCACTGACACTTGTAATTGTTTTTATTATAAATACCGGGTCTTGAGTAGCTAAGGTTTGAGCTAACGTTAGCTTCACGGTAACGGTTTAACGGTCCGTCAAACATGTCGGAGGAGGTGAGTCTGTACGACCTGCTGAACCTATCCATCGGGACCCCCCAGAAGTCCTCCGTGAACTTCGGCGCCCTCCACTCGCTGCTCCTCGCCATGCTGAAACAGCTGAATCTCCGGGAGGTGAAGACCCGGTGGAGGGACTCCTCTCCGGGTTATTGGAGCCCTGATCTCACGGCGGCAGAGAAGGAGGTTCAGGTGGAGGTTCAGCCGGACACAGACTTCCAGAATCGGGCAGCGACTCCCTCATGCCCGGGCCCGGTCCCCGACCAGCTGAACCTCCTTTCCCGCATCCAGACATGTGAGGACGGCCTCTCTAAGGTGAAGTACTCAAAGACCACCTTAAAGAAAAACCACCTGTGATCACTGAGAAATACATCAGAATCTGTATGATGATATACAATCAGTGGAAGATTAAATATAAATTCATACACTTCATACATTTAAATGGAGAAACCTTGTGCTCGATGACACTGTGTTCATAAACAAAACAAAATAATAAAACAGAAATATTCCTTCACCTGAAGTTAAATGAGCAGGAAGGCAAAGTCACCCACTCAGTGGCTCTGATTCACTCTTAAACAAACCAGTTATCGTTCGTCATGTGTCATCCCAACCACCTGAACACAGAGTTTTCGAAGTAAAGAAAGGTTTGGTGCCCGTTTCCAATAAATCAAATTACCGAGGTTGACCTCAGTGACCTCACAACCAATGGCCACCCAGTAATAACCATGGTTCCCACAGTGTGCTGGGCACCAGTGTAACATCCATAACCTGCAGTCACTGTCCTGTGTTTGATGAATTGTTAGAAATTACTGTCTGCTTAAAAGACAACAGTTCCTCAGTTTATGCTCCTTTTCTGGCAGTGCTGAGAACGCAACTTTATTAACATCTGCAGCGTGGACGTGTAACAGTGATTAACAGGCAGTATGATGTGGTGACACCACACTACTGTCGTGGTCTGCCTGTTGGTACCATGTATTAAACAATCATCACATTTTTGCGCTCTGGGCCGCTTTAACTGCGCTGACACCTGTAAACGTGCGTGCGCCTGATTTCTTTGGTGGTTTTGTCGCCTTTTTTGCATCTTAAAAAGAAAGAAATCCTTGTTTTTCGAGACACCGAACATCAGTGCCAATGCTGTTGCCTGATGTGGTGGGTGATGCAGTAATGTTCAGAGACGAGCTAAAAGACTACATTTGTTTGTTTTTAGTGAATAGGTATTGTTTTCCTGCACAAAGTGAGAATAAAGAAACAATAAAGCGTCAGTAAAGACGACACACTGTAGATAACTATATGACGCTGCCCCTGACCGTGGCCCAGCGACTTCTTCTCTTCTTCCATGTCTGGCTTGCAGTGGTGAACATTTCAGCATATTACTAAGCCGCTGATGATAGAGCAGAGCACAATGGGAGATGGGCGCCACCCTGACATCTCAAATGACCCCGGAGTGTCCCCGTTCAGGTTTCTGCAGAGCTGCCGCCGGCAGATGAGCACATACATCATCATCAGGCCGCCCAGCAACATTTTGATCTTAAAAACGTCATGCAGCGTGGAGGACGTTAAAGGTTGGAGGTGTTTGTGGTTCACACGTTGCTGCCTCCCCCTTCCCCTCCTCCTCCGCCTTGCACTCTCCTCTCTGCGTGATAGGGGGTAATTAGTCCCCTGCAGAGATGCCTCTGGTTGTCAGGGGATGAATAGCTCTCAGGTGAAGAGCGGGACACCGAGCAGGTGCACGGAGGTGCGGCTGAATCATTCATGTCCTCTGTGGGCTCGGCCCGGGTCAGCTGCTGTTTCTGCTGGCGCGCCCTCTTCATCCGGCTGCATGACCTCAGTGTGTTCTCCATGTGAAAGGCCGGACGGCAGGCATCACCCATTAATCTGACAGACAGCTGTTTACCTGAACATGGCTTTTGGTGCATCGGGGTTGGGGGGGGTTCTAGTTAATGAGTGACTGATCTGAACGAGGCTGGAGTGTAACCAGAACACAGACGGAGCTCGGAGCCCTCACAGAACTGTTCCGCCATGTTGGCGAGTCTTTTTCCTAAATCAGTTTGAGAGACATCAGCAGGTTCTCGTTATTTAGAGAAGCGGTTATGAATATTTTGGATATGCAAGTGATAGGACTTCATCTAATGATGATTTCATAATGTTCTCCATTTACTGATTGAGTTTTTGCTTTCTGAACATTTTGGTTGTGCTGAGTTAAAGGCCGCCACCAGCCATAACATAGACTGTAGATAAATGATGGACAAAGCTAATGTGACCTGCTGGTTTTGGTCTCATTTTTGCCAGAAGAGACCATATTTGTTCCAGAGCGAGCAGCGTGGGAGACTGCACAGGAGCATCACACTGACTTGGATACCTGCTGATCAGTGCTCGGTAACATCCAATTAAAATCCTCAAATTTCACCCAAACTGGAGCTCAGACTTGTTGGACTGCACAGCAGCCTTGTTAGCCAAAAGTCATCCCAGAAAGCAGCGAATCAGAGTCTGTGTTTTATACCAAAGCATGAGCGTCGTAAAGCTGAGCAGGTAGCTTTGGTGCTGAAAGCGAACCAAGCAGCGGGAGAGTTTTCCCAAAGTGTAATGAAGAATCCGGATTAGCTGTATGGGAATGTGATTTGTTTTAAAGTGTTCGAACCGTCCCGATGACCCCGGACACAAGGTGAGGCTGCACTCATTAACCAGCTCTGAGTCACTGAGGCCCGAGCCGTGGGGGGTCGCCATGCATCACTCGGCACATTTGACACAAGTTAAACAGCAGCTCGCACACAGCTCAGGAATTTCCTTTGCTTCGGCGTGAAAGGACAGATCGAACCGTGTCCGTTTGCTCTGCAACACACCTCACGCCACCCCCACAGGAAGTGTAAATGACCCGCAGGTCAAAGAGCCGATCATCAACCCAACGCACTTCACGCTACATCCATCAAATTAAATTAAAAAAATAACAACATCAGAGCACATCAGCTTCCCTATTCTGATGATTTCTCTCATTATTGGACAATTATTGTACTACAGCAGTTATTTCATAATGTACGTCACTGCCACACATGGACATCCACAGAAAATGAGTCCAGCATCTTGTACCACTAACCCAGGCATCAGCAACCGCTGCTGTGACAGCGCCAGTATTCATCCAGATCATCCATAATCTATATCTAATCCATACATCAGCACAAATCGCAGGACCAGATGCGAGATAAGAAAGAAAAACCAGTTTTAAAAATCTCCCAGATCAGTGAAACAGCAGAACAGACACGCCCCCACCCACACATCTGACTTCCTGTGACAACTCCTCTGCCAATCGGTGAGCAGAAAACCACCAGGCGTCACCTTTTACACACCTCCAGGATGAGAAGCAGTTTTTTTGTAGTGAAAATGTGCGGCGTACTGATTCGAAGCTGTGTGCTGTGTCTGCAGTCGACGAGGCTGATCCTGGACCTGAACGAGCAGAACGAGCGTCTGAAGGAGCAGATGGAGGAGCTCTGGCAGCAACACGAGGTCGGGCCGTGCACAGCGAAACACACCGCAAACACCACGACCGATCAAACAGCACAAAGAAATAACACTGAAACGTTTTCAAATGATTACAGTCAATTAGAGCAAAAACAAAAAATCACAAACGCTGGGACAGATTCTGTCACCTGCACCGATTCCAAGCTGCTCTGATGAAGCTCCACGTACGGACGCTGCTGACCACAAACCAGATGGTCCCGCTCCTCTTCAGCCCGCACGACCATCTGGAGTGAGATCGGGCCAAATTCATTAAACATTTTTAATTATGTTTAATTTTTCAAACTTATTCTATGAAACTCTGATCCAGGTTTTATGGAAGTGCTTCTACTTTCAATAATCAGAAATCAAACAGTCAGTCAGAAAACTCAAAGAGCCTGATATACTTTATTTCTACTTTATACTTATTTAGATATACTTTATTTCTACTTTATACTTATTTAGATATACTTTATTTACTACAGAAGTAATATTAGACACATCTTATAACGGCATCACTCAAATAAACAAAATGAAACATTTTAATGTGGTAAAACATGACACACAATAAAGGAGCCCAGTTTAACAGAAAAAATGAAATACGCAGAATAATAAAGCTCCATAAACAAAAAGTAGAATAGAAACCTGCAACTAGAAATAAAACAATAAATAGAAACTGTCAGAAAAAAAGTTCTGGTCTGACTGGATAGATTTATGAATCTGAACCACAGAAAGTTTCTCTGCTGTCCAAAAGTCTCAGTCAATGTTCAGCTGAAGAAAAGAGCTCATCATCATAGCAAATATTTCATGTATGTTTGACTTTTAGTGGCTCTGCAGGGAAACACGCTGATTCTGAGCCACGCCGTATTTTCAGCGTCTTCTCGCCCTCAGGCCTCGGCGATGGAGCTCAGCTGATGCTGGATGTGGATTCGTGGGATGTTCTGATCTCTCCCTCTGTCCTGTGTTCAGATGGTCGGTGACGCTTTGGGGACGGCCGCTCGGGTGGAGAGCTGCTGCCACCGTGTGGACGCTCTGGAGGAAACTGTGGTGAGGGTTTGTCTGAGGGGAGGATGTGACACTGTTTAAACTGTTGGCTACTGGCTTCTGTGTAATAATGTAATTCTGACAGTTTAATGAGGACATGCCCAAACCTCGTGATTTCACTGTTGTTACAGAAATCTCTGAGGGACGCAGTTCTACCCGGCAACAGAGAGGGCGAGACAGAAAAATTCCAGAAGGTGAGAAAGAAACAGAAACTTGTGTTTCATCAGAAACAGACGAGCTTACAGCCAGATGTTTAGAGTCCTAAAGTTATTTTAGTGTCAAGGAAAGCAGCCATGTTTGTGTGCAGAGCCGAGCTGAGGCCTCAGCAGGTGATTATTTATCAAGAAACAAGAGGCAACAAGCCAAACAGGCGGATGTGACATGAAATTTTGCTTTTAAAGAAGGTTCTTTAATCAAATTTAGATTAAGTTGGGGCAGATGTTCATGGGAATCTGATCTCTTTGGCATCAAAGAGAAAAAAATAAAAATCCCAGCTCTGCTGTTTTTATTCGAACCATCCATATCACACGTCTATTTGATCTTCACCCGTCTGTTTATTATTGAAGAACCTCTGCGGCTCACTCCCAGCTCCATGTTTTTATGCTTGGCCTCTGCTTTGTGTGATTAAGAGGTTCATAATAATCCTTCTTAATCTCACCCGAGCTTTGGTGCAGCTCCAGAGTTTTCCCTGAAACAAGCTCTTTTAGCTCCACTCCCACTAAATCAGCTTGATTCTGATTGGCTGCCCTTCCCTGCTGTGTTCCTGACCAGCGGTATGGATTCGAGTACAGTGTTGATATTTGTCTGCAGTTTCAGAGTGTTTGTCTCGGACTTCCTCACAGGAGCCTGGAGATTCAGGGGTCGATAATCAGCTCGTGGCAGCCAAACAAACCTCCTCGCCTTCCGGCAGTGACCTCACCGAACCTCCTCAAAGCAGCACACCTCCCTCCTCCCACCCCAACAAGGTCACCGTTGGACCAGCAGCTCCAAGTTCTCCAAATAAATCCGAGTGCTCTTCGGTCCAGTCAGGGCCGCCTCCACAGGCTGGTGTTAAAGCAGACTCTGCTGGTAAACCTCCAGCTTCAGATTCCAACTGCTCCACACCATCCACAGAGGCAGTGGAGGCCCTGAGGAGTGTGAGCCAGCTGCAGGAGAGGCTCGTCCAGGTGGAAGCTCACGTAGCGGTGTTAGAGAAAGGAAAGGCAGACCAGAGTCAGCTGGCTCAGCTCAGAGAGCTCATCGCCACCAAAGGTGACGCCATACAAGCTGTTAGAAAGTCTCTCATGAACACAGCTCTCATTTAAAGTGTTCAGATCACAGTGTGAGATCTGAAGTCATAGCATGAAGAATATATTAGAGCTGCACCAACCTTTGATTTTATTTTATCTTTCTTAAATGTTTTTACAAATTATTTTGTTTAAAAATGTCTTAGCCTCCCAAAAATCTATCAGCAGAATGTGAAGAAACAGCTGCTATGAGTTTGTGCCCGAAACATCTGTTGTTGTGTGGCCACACTTGTGTGTAATGCCTAATTGTACCACAAGGTGGTGCAGTCTTTCTTTAACCTAGTACGTCAGCGAGAGCACTTCTTGAGGGAGCGGGTATAAAGAACACACACATCCCAAAAATGTAACACCCCTCCTGGTAAAACACTGCCCCCAGTGGTAAAAGTTCAAGTAAACTTTTATAGGTATTTACAGTAATTACTGTAATTTATCCTGTAACTATTATTTGTACATATTACAGCTCAAACTTCATGGAATGAATGAGAATTTCAGCACTTTTAGAGCATCTGATTTCTGCTCCCAGACTGCGATGCTGATGTTATGTTGAACATTTAGGTTCCCATGGAGACGCGTTCAGTAACCTGATGGATCAGCTAAATGAGCAGAGAGGTTTGATAGACCGCCTGATGAGCGACCGAGGAAAGGTGAGTAAGAACCAACCGGAACAACCCTCTCCTCCTCAAACATCAGCACAAACGCTGCCGTGTCACTTCCTGTCTGTCTGCTCTGATGGTTAAATTTGTCCGTCTGAAGCTGGACGCCTTGGAGGACATGCTCATGAGCCTGATGAGCCCACACAAAGAAAGCGCCTCCGAGGTAACTATCGAGAGGGCGGAGTTACAAGTGTCAGAGAGGGCGGAGTCAGAAGCTTCAGAGAGGGCGGAGTCAGAAGCTTCAGAGAGGGCGGAGTCAGAAGCTTCGGAGAGGGCGGAGCCAGAAGTGTCAGAGAGGGTGAAGTCAAAGGCAGATTCAGAGAGGCTGGAGCAAAAGGAAGCTTCGGAGAGGGCGGAGTTACAAGTGTCAGAGAGGGCGGAGTCAGAAGCTTCAGAGAGGGCGGAGTCAGAAGCTTCGGAGAAGGCGGAGCCAGAAGTGTCAGAGAGGGTGAAGTCAAAGGCAGATTCAGAGAGGCTGGAGCAAAAGGAAGCTTCGGAGAGGGCGGAGTCAGAGGTTTGCAGAAGAGTGGGTTCAGACAGCGAAGGTTACCGAGAGCTCAGAGAGCAAATATCCCACCTCAGGTAAAGACACACAGGAGGGAGAGCCAGTTTTACATCACCCGACAGAAGTTTTAAAAGGAGCCCTGACCATGAATATACATATACAGCTTCCTGTAGTAACACCAGCTCAGCTATTTTAAGCTCGCTTTAACTGTTTAGAGAAAAAATGGCAAATTTAGGAGAAAAAAGTTTGAAAAATTTCGAAGTCTTGGCTTGAAGCTGAGGGCAGTGAGAGAAGCGTGAACGTGATGTAACTGAGGATGTTACTCAAACTGCCCCTGCAACACGAAGGCAGTCGCAGCTACGGAGGCGAGAGGATCTGTGTATGCGTTTAACTCTGGCCCCGCCCACTTCGCATCACCAGCAGTTATTTCGTCCTTTGCAGCCGGAGTTGTTAAATGTCAGTGTCCTTTAAGACCGAGTTCATCAGCCAAGAGCTCCTGAACCAGCACTCCTGCAGCGCCTCGAGGCGACTGTTGTTGGGATTTGGAGCTTTATAAATAAAACAGATTTTTTTACAGCCTAAACGAGGGCGGTGTTGTGGTGACAACGATGATGGCGCCTGACAGAAACTAGACCTAAAACTGTTATTTTATAATGAATTCACAAGAATTCACCGACTTTGTTATCAGGTCGGTTTCATGTTCACGTGTATACACGATCAGTCTTTCCTGTCACAGCACTAGTGGGATGCAGTTTGTAGCATCATTGCGTGCATTTCTGGCCACTTCTTCTTCTGACATCATTTTTTGAGCTGCCTGGAAGAGAATGATCCAACTTGCAGAGAGAAACTCGTTAAACGCGCTGAATCAGGGCTCCTTTTAGTCTTTCGAAACTTGTCAGGAGTTTTATTCACCCGGGTCACTTTAGTCGTTGTGCTTTCATGATGGCGCCCTCGTGTCCAGGACGCGTGTGCAGTGGCTGGAGGAGGACGTGAAGCAGACTCAGTGTGAGGAGAAAGCGGCAGACCAACAGCTACAACGTCAGGTCAGGCAGGAAGTGCTGAAGCTCAGGAGGCAAACTGGCGCCACCTACAGGGAGGGAACGGAACAGCAGCACACGTGTAAATAGCGAAGTCATAATTTAGGAGTTTTGTTATGCTTGGCACATTTGGAAAAAACAATCAGAAAAAATATCAGAAAAGTTGTTTGTTTTGGTCAAGGAGCCGCGTCTTTAGTTTTCGGTGTCAGGTGTTTACCTGTAGGTGGCGTCTGTTTCCTGAATGTCATGCAGGAGACATCATGTAGATTTCCACACTGTAAAAAAAGTCTCAAATGACATTGTGAGTCTGAAAACATTCCAGACAAAGCACGAGCAGAGGAAACAGAGAAACAGTCAAAGATGCCCTGGTGTTTCAGGCGACATGCATCAGCCTAATCTCAGTTCTTTGCCCTCCGACCTCAGCTGGACGACCTGCGGGGAACACTGGAGGACACAATCTTGTCCTTCACATCTCAGCTGTCCACGAGTCTATGCGATGAGGCCGTGCAGGCGGAGAGTGGTGGTCCGAGCGTCCGTCAGAGCGAAGAGTGGTCAGCTCTGAATGCCAGAACAACAAACATTGGAGAGAAGCTCAGCTTTCTGTTCGAGCACTACCAGCAGCTGCAGGACGCGGTGAACAGACTGATCCAGCAGCAGGGCGGAGCCAGAGAAGGGCCGCCGCAGGACCGAGAGGCAAGCCAGAGCAGGGTGAAGCTAGGGAACATTTCAGATCTGCACGCTGGGTTTAAGAGAGTGCTGAAAACACCTGACTTTGATTTTTACCTTTTAAGGTCACGTCCAAGCTGCTCCTACCTTGGCTGCTGTTTTTAGATCTCTCCATAACTCACAGTCTAAGTACTGTAGGTGGCTAAAAATCTCACAACTTTCCTCATGATGTTCTTCCTCAGACACCACAGGAAGTTCTAGCTGGCTCTTCCTGGTGGACAGATTCGTGACGCTCAACACTGTGAGCGATGCGGTCCTCACCTGAGATGCCGTAAACTGCAGATTGTTGCAGACGCATCAAAAGTCTGCAGGGTTTGAGGTTTTTGATGAAACCGCAGAGCGTGCAGGGTACGAGGTCTGGATGGACTGCCAGGAAGTGATCTAAAAATAGCAGCAGTGGTGGAAGTGGCCCAGAGGTGCTCCAGGAGATGATGTTAAAGGGGAGGTCAAAGTCCTGGAACCTCGTCTGGAAACTAAACGTCACTGCTCCGATATACACAGAATACACCGGGGTTAAGCTGTCTGCAGGAAGATCTCTGATTCCTTCTGTGTGTGTGTGTGTGTGTGTGTGTGTGTGTCAGAACGTGGAGCTGGTGAACGGCGTGCAGCAGGCGATGCTGCAGCTTCAGGCCGACTGTAAGAAGCTAAACGAGACGATGAGATCGCTGCACGAAGACAGCAAACGCAAGCAGAGACACATCGAGGTAAAACATGCAGCGCGTTCCTCGTCGCACGTCATTCAGTCTCAGCTACCACAGCATCACACAACAGGAAAAAAACGATGGCGTTATTTTTGTGCCACTATTATGAGCGCACTTAAAAAACATTTGCAGGTGCAAGTGTTGCATTTTGAGGAGAAATTTTGAGCAAAGAAAAGCTAAATTTGAGTGAACAAAATTCATTCCTGCGTGCAAAAGATGTATTTCAGTGTTTGCTATTATCCACACACACACACACACACACACACACACACACACACACACACACACACAGCAGCCCCTCTCGCTCAGTTTTTGCGCTCGCTCGCAATGTGTCGCTCGTGCTCTCAACATTTCTGCCCGTGCGCGCTCAACTCTTTCTCTACACCGTTATATTTGTGCCACAAAACCAGCCAATCACAGACTTGGATGCACAAAAATCTGATTGGTTGTTTTGGTCTCCAATCAGCTCAAAATGACGAAATGCAATATCCCAGAATCCATGTCGTCCAGAACTCAAGCGAGGCAGTGGCAGAGTTTGAAATATTACTCTGTCTGGGTCACAAAATAAACTTTAAGATATGTCTGGACGACATGGATTCTGGGATATTGCATTTCGTCATTTTGAGCTGATTGGAGACCAAAACAACCAATCAGATTTTTGTGCATCCAAGTCTGTGATTGGCTGGTTTTGTGGCACAAATATAACGGTGTAGAAAACCAGCATCTTAATATGAACTGTGATGACACTTTTTACTTTTAATTGAAGGTGTAAATGCACCAAAAAGAAACCAGTGTGAGACCACGGTGTTACTTACTGCTCCACTCAAACGTCTCCACCAGAACAAACCGCAGAGGTAGGAGGTGCTGCGCCGTGTGCGACACGTGACGGCAAGAAAGAGTTCTTGAAACAGTCATTTAAGATTCAAACTGCAGGTTGCTCCCGAAACTGCTTTTATCCAAAGAGTTTTTCATCCGTACATATTTTGTCTTTATTGTCATTCTTCTAAAAATGTAAAAGTTGAATTGAACAGCTGAGGAGACGAGCTGACGGACTCTCGTCTCTGCAGGAGCTCTACAAGACGACGGAGGAGCTGGAGGTGAACAAGGCCGACAAGCAGATGGTCGAGAGTGAAATCGTGAGTTGGCTCATTTTAACCTCCCACCTGTGGGAGGAGTCAGACTCACCTGCTTTAGTTTCAGATGTTTGGGTGTGATCTGTCCCTCCATTTCACTGCAGGGCAACCTGCATGTGGCGAATAAAGCCTTGATTGATTGATTGATTGATTGATTGATTGATTGAGATGTGTGTGAGGCGACTGTTTCAGGACACCTGTCGGCCTCCGCCTTCTCGCCGTTGACCTCCCGATTCTCCCTCTGTGCCCGTAGAGAGCAGACAAATCGGCCCTGGAGGGGAAAGTGAGCCGGCTGCAGCTCGACTCGGTGACGGAGCAGCTGAGCGGGATGTTCCACGAGCTGCTGAACAAGGTGACGAGTCAGGAGCAGGACTGGCACAAACTCATGGGCAAGCTCTCCACCGAGATGGAGTGTAAGGTAGGAGAGCCACGCCTGCAAACTCAAACTGATCCGAGATCAGAGGGAAGGGTAATGGGTTTAAATTTAAAAACATATTTTGTCTTTAAATCGTGACGACGTCTCTGCTACAGCTGTGACAGAAGCTGCAGTATTGGAGATTTTACGCTTCGGTCATAACAGGCTGATCCGGGGCGTCACATGTGTGATGTAGGGTTTTCAAATTAACACCACAGGAGCATCTGTTAAAGATCTCAGACTGTGTCTATATGTCAGCTTGGGTCTCAGACTCCGCCTCTCTGGGAACCATCTCCCCTCACCACACTCCCTGCTGGTGGCTGATGCCCTCAGACGTTGGTGTGTTGGTGGTTCTTGGTGTCTGGGGCTGGGCGCTCATGTATGTACCGACTCACTCCTGGTGGCTGATTGGCGGGGCCTGGCGCCTGTGGCCCGGCTGGGCCCCTTCCAGGGGGTGGGGTGCCCTCAGGCCTCTGGGCCTGAAGCTCAGTCCTCTCTGGCTCAGCTCACTGCTGGCAGAGCCCGCGGGCACGTCACTGCAACACCTCTGGCCTCTGCTCCGTGGCTGCTGGGTGACCTCTTGTTTGGGGCTCTCCTCAGCTCTTCCCAGGAGGGTGGCACGGTTGCCCCCCTGGTGGTCCTCCTTGGGTCCTTGTACTCTGGGGGCCTCTGGATGTCTGGGGCCTGGATCTCCTCCATACCTGGTTCATGCCCTGGGGGACGGGGCTATGGCTCCCCACACTCCCTAGCAGATCGTTACATGGAGAAACCTTTGGAATACAAGCGTGCTGATCCACACAGGTGTTCGCAGACACAAACTACACCTTTCTTGGCTGCTGCCTCAAAGCACATTGTGCGCTGCACTCTAAAAAGTAATTCAGAGGCTTTTAGTAAACATCACTATAAATATAAGTTAGATGAGCCTGATCAAATCTATGAATATCCTTTTAGTAATTATTTGAGTTTGATAAGTTGAAATAAATGTCTAAAATATTAACGTATGTGTTTGTGTTAAATTAAGGTATTCATTTACATTTATCTCAGACAAAAAATTCAGTATGTGGTTCACAGAATACCTTCTTTACATGTGCTTAATATTTTTGTTTAACATTTAATCAAAATATTTGAGAAATATGTATCTATACTCATCAGTATCTTGTACTAAAATCATTAATTATTCAAATCAATATTATTTATTGTCAGCAACTACAACTGAAAAGTAAAACATGATAACGTAGAGTAATTGAGTACCATGAGCCTTTTCCATTGTTTCGTTCATTGTGTTTTTTAAATACTCTGAGCGTTTGTGTTTGCGCTCCTGGTTTGACATTCATCCTTCAGGTATGTGAGGCTTTGAGCTGAAAGGGGAAAGGCTCTTGTCTTTTTAGTGCTTGTTTATTTTGATTTTTTGCCATGTTTATGAAAATAAAATTTTGTTTGGAAAAATGTCTAACATGTGGTCATCTTTCATACATGTATTATGAAAAACACAACTACATATTAGTTTGTCTGGTTTTTCAGACTTAGACTACCAGTGAAATACAATAACATTCATATTTGAATATTTGAATCTTGTAATCAGAAGGTTGCCAGTTCGAGCCCCGGCACCAACAGTCTCGGTCGCCTACTGGTGGTGGTCAGAGGGCCCGGTGGCGCCAGTGTCCGGCAGCCTCGCCTCTGTCAGTGCGCCCCAGGGCGGCTGTGGCTACAGTGTAGCTTGTGAATGTGTGGATGTAGTGTGAAGCACTTTGGGGTCCATAGGGACAAAGTAAAGCGCTGTACAAATACAGGCCAGTTACCATATTTAATATTAAGTACAATTTTGATCACGTTCAGTTTACAATATGAAGTAAATGGAACAAAACTTTGGATTAACTGACATCTATATTTACAGTTACATGACCAAGCATGTCAGTGTTATTTACTCAATTTTTTCATGTTTGTGTAAAACTACAATTATTCATTTCAACATAATATGTTTAAGCTTTAGTTATTCAATTGATCAAGTATATTGAACAGGTTTGACCGGTTTCCAATCTACTCAATATTTTTAAGTGTAAAAGTGTTGCCTCAAAAATTTTAAGTAAATGTCAGTGTCCATCTTGCGTGCTGCACAATAACATGTAATATTTAGTATCTACTGTTAGCTACTGTTAGCTAGTTTATTGTGATGGTGCTGTATTTATTAAGATAAGATAAAACTTTATTAATCCCTCGGGTGGGTTCCTCTGGGAAATTCGGTTTCCAAAAGCACAGCACCGACAGAAGTTACAGAGTAACAGAATATTATACACACACACACACACACACACACACACACACACACACATATATAAATACAGAGACATATATAAATAAAATATACGAAGGGGATAAATAGAATAAATAGGAATAAAAATAAAAATACAAGTGAATTGCACATTTCAAGTATTGAGTCTATTGCACCGTTGACTATTAACAAAGGTATTGCACAGTGAGGTGAAGAGGCACTACAGCGTAGTTGTTCCCCCCTCCTTTGTCCTCCTGTCTCCCCTCCCTTATTATGTTGCTCTTTGTTGTTTGTTTTCTCCTCTGGTTTTCTTTCTCTCCCTCTCTTTCTTTCATTCTTTCTCCCTGTCCTATCCCCCAGTCATGTCTGTCCCGTCTGTAACAACTGAAAATAAAATAAAATAAATACATAATTATAATAAAGGTCAATCAAATGGACCAATATGGCAAGGCCATGATGATCCACTTGGTAAAGTAAATCCTCTTGGCATCTTTCTTGGCCTTCAGACAACGATTCTGACGGCTAAAGATCCAAACGGGACAAAAAAAAAGATCTGAATCTCAGTGACCTCAAAGTCAAGGTGTTGTTGTTTTTATTAAGAAAACCAAAAGAAGGTGGAAATATTTTTATAATTTACTGGAAACTATGAATGCTAGAAGTTTTCTAGAATTGATTTTAAAATAAGAGTCATGGTTCTGATCTGATGGTTCTTATCTGGTCCCTCTGCAGCTGAACCGGATCGAGCTGGACTCTGTGAAGAAGCAGCTGGAGGATCGCTGGAGGAGCATCCACGAGAAGCTGCAGGCTCAGGCGGCGCCGGAGTACGAGGACGCCGCCGGGATCAGGAAGTGAGAACACTGCACTCTTACACGCAGTACAGCTCACAATCACAGGTGCTTCCAGGAGATCCAATCAGGAGAAAGAGGGCTTTTAGGGAGGGGCTAACAGAGATAGGATGAATTGAAGGATTATTTTGACCTGTCAGTCACGCACAGCTGCTCTGACAGACGATATATGTCTCTAACATTATTATTATTGTTAACATTATTGGCTTTGGTCTGAATGTCATTTGTTGCTAAATGTTCCATTATTAGCGTCTGACTGAAACATCTGCAGACAGTGTTTGTTCAGATTTCGTCTGAATCAGACACGTGAGGTAACAAAGAAGGAGGAGCATTTTTTATGAATGTCTTCAGAACATTTTAAATATGTGCAGCAGGTGAAGGGCTGAGAAGCACTGAAGATTTGTTCTTGTGTTTATTTCCAGACAGCTCGTGGAGAGATTCCACTGCCTCTCCTGCGACCGGCCCATCGTGAAGCACACGCCCGGACCGTGAGTGAACGCCTCTCACAGAGTACGTGACCCAAACCTCTGAGCTGCTGTCTGAACTCCTCCCCTCTCCTACATTTGTACCTTTTCTTTGAGGGTTAAAGGCATCTGGTGACGCTGCCCTCGTTTCCTGCATTCCCCTCGCACAAGTCCATCCGGCCGTTCACCGTTTACACCATGGAGCAGTTACGCCAGCACTACCGGAGGTGAGTTACCTGCACACACATGGTGAGGCTCCTCAGTGTCTTCTGTTCTGATGAGCCCCTGTCACCGCCTCAGCCAGCAGCCAGGCACCAACCGCTGCAGGTACGAGGCAGCTAAGGCGTGCAGGAGCAGGGAGCGGCTTCAGAGGAGCCGCGTCACCGCGTGCAGGCAGATAGAGAGCGTAGAGATGCAGGGACGGCCGCAGCACGGCGATGGCACGAACACAGCGCAAGGCCAGCAGTGAGTCAGGGCAGGGGTGGAGCTTAAAGTCTGCGGTTGCTACAGGGTTAACGTGGAAAGAGCAAGACTGTAATTTCATGCGTTCACTCGATCACTGAGTTTGAACCTCAGTGCTGCCGTTACCGTTCTGCAGCGTTTCTGAGGTGAAGCTACAGAAAATCAGCACGTACATGATGATGACGTCATTAGAGGTCAGTGAGCAGATCTGTGATTTCTGTGTTGATCACCGTTCCATTTCTCTGTCCTCACGCCTCGGGCAGCGAGCGCATATCTGAGCTGACGGATTACGGTCACCTGGCTGCGGCGCGGAGCTGCGGCGGGAGTCACCACACCAACGCTGCAGGCAGCCAGCGCCGTGGCGGCCCGCAGTACACAAAACTCCACGGTGAGGTGGACGGTGCGATGCAGGTACGTCTGAGGAAAACGGGCCTGAAACTGCAGCGAGGTCTTAAAGGTCTGTTTGAGGTTTCACAGTGTGTGTGTGTGTGTGTGTGTGTGTGTGTGTGGGTCAGTCGGAGGAGGTGGATATCGTTGGACTGGATGGGCGCATTTACAAAGGGCGCCTGAACGTCCCGGCCTGCAGGAACTCAGAAACTAAACTGCCAACGATCCCCACCAGAGACGGTAAACTCTGAATCCATCACACGTCACTAACGCTGCGTCACGCTCCGAGGGAAAAATACTCACATCTGAATAACACACAGGCTACACAACACAACCCCCAGCAAACACCTGAAGCTCGACTCCAGCAGACGTTTGCACGGAGTTCAAGTTAAAAATTCCAAAAGAAGCAGCCTGACAGCGCTGCTGTGAACACACAACAATGACACCTGGTTGTCATGGTGACTCCAGGTTTGCAGTGCTTGTTCTTCTTCGCTTTGGTCACATGTTCCACCTGCTCCGTGTCTGCAGGCGTGTATAAGAGTAAGGACAAAGCCAAGCCTGCTGCCTCTCCGGAGGTGGGACCCAGCACTCCTCTTCATCCGCCCTGCAGTCCCAGGAGCGCAGCGTGCAGCCGCTCGGGTGAGTCATTCACGCAGGTAAAGGTGTCATCAGTACCAGTTAAAACAAAAGAAGCTAAGAAGGTGAGGAACACCTCGATCTCTTCCCCCGGAGAGTAGCAGGAGGAGGTGGCCGGGGTGAGGGAGGTCTGGGAGTGTCTGTTGTTTCTGCTCCACCTTTAAAGTTTAAACTGAAGTGAATCCTTCTGTGTCGACAGCAGAGCGCCTGAGTGTCTGTTGCTTATTCATCTGATGTCTAAATGTCCTGCAAACACAAACCTGGCTCCTCCTCCTCTCCTTCCTCTCCAGCATCCAGCTGCTCCGGTCGTGATTGGCCCGTCTCGGCTCTGGGCTGTGCGTCTCAGAGCTCCATCGCTCAGGGTTCAGCTGCGGCTGACAGCACCGCAGAGCCTCCAAGCAACGAGCCCCTCAACCTGTAGGGGGCAGCGTCTGCCTCCAGGTTGTGTTTAGTTTGTGAGTGCAGACAGAGGTTCGGGTAACCTCCTCCTGCTTATCGTCCAGACTACACATCCCAGAACCCCCCGTGATGTGGCTCTGTACTTATTTTTTCACTTTGAATATTGTTGTTAACAGATAATAAACTTTAGTGTGAATTTAATCACTTTTTAGAACATCAGATATTAAACATCAAACAGATGTTATTTATCATAAGTGAGCCACGTTTAACGTTTTATCTTAAAGGATCCTTTTGATGTAATTCACAGTAAAACGTCACCGAGTCTGTCTGAACATGGTCTTTGTATGTTTATTTGAAAAACAGAGGATTCCCTCTTAATCAAACCACCTGATCAACTATTGATTACTGAAATAATCAATAGTCTTTAAAAGGCTTCAAGAAGGTCAGGGGAGGTATAGAATTATTTTACCTTTCTTTCACCTCCACACCCATTTACTCACCTTAGCTCGTGTGATTAGATGGGGACAGTCCCATAGGACTTAAAGTCTGGGACTCTCCACTCTCCACCGGTCGCTCTTAGAACTGAAGAAGCTTCTGGAAACTTAAAGACACCCAGACGCATATATATATATATATATATATATATATATATATATATATATATATATATATATATATATATATATATATATATATATATATATATATATATATATATATATATATGTATATATATATATATATATATATATATCCACTACGCTATCCAGCGTAGTGGTTAGACTACACGCCTTTGGAACAGAGGATCGCAAGTTCGATTCCTGCCTGGGGCGTCTGTATCCAGTAAGGGTCCTAAGGCTAGACCCCCTATGCTAAGCAAGCCTACCGCAGACATGAGCGAGACAGATAAATATGAAGGCATGCCGGCTCGGACGTCGCCCGGATCAACAAAGTCCGCGTCAGGTGTTGAGGAACCAGGGCACCCTGACGAAAAGTGGGCTACTGGAACAAGAAGGCATCGGTGGGCAAGGGACGAAAACAGGGCGTTGTTGGAATGCTACTACGCAAGTAACCCCGGCGGAAGGGGCTACATGAATAGGATGAGGGACCTATGGATTCTTCGATACCCAACATCCACAATGACGGCGAAACAACTAGTAGCTCAGTGTTCCAACATTCGAAAGAAGGGACTGCTCTCACAGCTAGAGATTGACGAGGTACAACACAAATGCTACGGCAAGGAGGAGTCAGGACGCCAGGTCAGGGGGGAGATATCATCACCCCCACCCGAGATTGGGTACATAGCCCCAAGTGCGATAGGAGAAGGATCGTTGAGTGCGAGAGGAACTGACCTGAAAAATAGGATCATGGCCAAGCTTGAAACCTGGATCCCCCGTAGCCGGTTACCAAGATTACGTGAAGTACCCTCAGAAGGTCTGCTAGATGATGTTAATGCAGCACTACGGGCAATACCTACAACCACGATTACCGACACTAACAAGCTGATCTACAATACGGCAGCAGTGATCAGTGAGATGCTTGGCTACAAGTTGAACAGCGACAAGGGGCAGTACCCTCCATGGAGAAGGAGGCTAGAGGGCAAGATCAAAGTAGCATGGAGAGAGGTTAGCCAACTAACGGAGTTGCAGAAAGGTGCGACAAATAAGGTGCCTAAGAAATACAGCAAGTTGTCCATACCTGAGGCCTTGGAAACTGCCAAGCAAAGACTCACAGCCTTGGCCAGCCGCTTGAGGAGGTACACCAGAGAGATAGAAGGCAGGAGAATAAACCAGCTGTTCTCCACAGAACCAGCAAAGGTGTACTCTCAGTGGCAAGGGAACAATAAGAGAACAGCACCACCAATACTGGAAGAGCATATGGGAGAAGGATGCAACCCATAACGGCAATGCTCAGTGGCTAGAGGATCTGAGGGCAGACCACAGCGACCTCCCTGAACAGGGTCCAGTAACCATCACAGTGGCAGATATCCAAGAAAGGGTCTCCAGTATGAAGAGTTGGACAGCACCAGGGCCCGACATGGTTCACGCCTACTGGCTGAAGAAGCTGACTGCACTCCACGAGCGTCTGGCAGCACAAATGAACCAGCTGCTAGTTAACGAAAGACACCCGGAATGGCTAACTGAAGGCCGGACGGTCCTGATCCCCAAGGACCCCAAGAAGGGACCGGTCCCCTCCAACTACCGACCAATAACCTGCCTCAGTACTACATGGAAGCTCCTGTCAGGCATCATATCGGCTAAGATGAACAGGAACATGGGTCAATACATGAGCGGGACACAGAAAGGAATTGGCAAGAATACCAGAGGTGCAAAACACCAGCTACTGGTAGACAGAACAATCAGCCGAGACTGCAAGACCAGACTGACCAACCTGTGCACTGCCTGGATTGATTACAAGAAGGCCTATGACTCAATGCCCCACAGCTGGATACTGGAATGCCTAGAATTGTACAAGATCAATGGGACCCTAAGAGCCTTCATCAGGAACTCAATGGGGATGTGGCGTACAACACTAGAGGCCAACTCCAAGCCCATAGCACAAGTTACCATCAAGTGCGGGATCTACCAAGGAGATGCTCTGTCCCCACTGCTGTTCTGCATAGGCCTGAACCCCCTCAGTGAGATCATTAACAAGACTGGCTACGGATACCGACTACGGAACGGAGCAGTTGTCAGCCACCTCCTGTACATGGATGACATCAAGCTGTATGCCAAGAGTGAACGAGACATCGATTCACTGATCCACACTACCAGGCTATACAGCAATGACATTGGAATGTCGTTCGGACTGGAGAAGTGTAGTCGGATGGTAACAAAGAGAGGGAAGGTAGTCAGAACTGAGGGGATTGAACTACCAGAAGGCAACATTGCAGACATAGAGGACAGTTACAAGTACCTGGGGATCCCGCAGGCAAATGGGAACCATGAAGAGGCCGCTAGAAAGGCTGCAACCACCAAGTACCTGCAGAGGGTCAGGCAAGTCCTGAGGAGTCAGCTGAATGGTAAGAACAAGATCCGGGCCATCAACACATATGCCCTGCCCGTGATCAGGTACCCTGCTGGGGTAATAAGCTGGCCAAAGGAGGAGATAGAAGCCACTGACATAAAGACAAGAAAGCTCCTGACCATGCATGGAGGGTTTCACCCCAAGTCCAGCACCCTGAGGCTGTACGCTAAGCGGAAGGAAGGGGGCCGGGGACTGGTGAGTGTCAGCACCACAGTCCAGGATGAGACAAGGAACATCCAAGAATACATTGGGAAGATGGCCCCAACTGACCGAGTGCTCAGTGAATACCTCAGGCAGCAGAAACCCAAGAAAGAGGAGGGAGACGAGGAACCATCATGGAAGGACAGGCCCCTGCACGGTATGTACCACCGGCAGATAGAGGAGGTGGCTGATATCCAGAAATCCTACCAGTGGCTGGACAAAGCTGGACTGAAAGACAGCACAGAGGCACTAATCATGGCAGCACAAGAACAAGCTCTGAGTACAAGATCCATAGAGGCTGGGGTCTATCACACCAGGCAAGACCCCAGGTGCAGGCTGTGTAAAGATGCCCCAGAGACTATCCAGCACATAACAGCAGGGTGCAAGATGCTAGCAGGCAAGGCATACATGGAACGCCATAACCAAGTGGCCGGCATAGTGTACAGGAACATCTGTGCCGAGTATAACCTAGAAGTCCCGAGGTCAAAATGGGAGATGCCCCCAAGGGTGGTGGAGAATGACCGAGCTAAGATCCTGTGGGACTTCCAGATACAGACGGACAAAATGGTGGTGGCTAACCAACCGGACATAGTGGTGGTAGACAAACAGAAGAAGACAGCCGTAGTGATCGATGTAGCGGTTCCCAATGACAGCAATATCAGGAAGAAGGAACACGAGAAGCTGGAGAAATACCAAGGGCTCAGAGAAGAGCTCGAGAGGATGTGGAGGGTGAAGGTAACGGTGGTCCCCGTGGTAATCGGAGCACTAGGTGCGGTGACTCCCAAGCTAGGCGAGTGGCTCCAGCAGATCCCGGGAAAAACATCGGAGATCTCTGTCCAGAAGAGCGCAGTCCTGGGAACAGCTAAGATACTGCGCAGGACCCTCAAGCTCCCAGGCCTCTGGTAGAGGACCCGAGCTTGAAGGATAAACCGCCCGCAGGGGCGTGCTGGGTGTTTTTTTATATATATATATATATATATATATACATATATATATATATACACATATATACACATATACATATATACACATATATATGTGTATATATGTATATGTGTATATATGTGTGTATATATATATATATATATATATATATATATATAGTGAGAAGGATCAGAAACACTGATCTAAACATGCAGAGCTCTCATAAAGCCTCGTGGGCCAGAGAAGAGTTGTGTTGTTGTCGTGTTGATCTGTCAGCGAGCCGAGGATGGTAAATGGTGTGTATTTGTATAGCGCTTTACACTATACACAATCATCCACCCATTCACACATTCAGGACTCAGCTGTTGCATCATGTGGGGAATTACATCATCACTACCAGCAACAAAAGTACTTCCTGTTAACAGGAACACGAGGCCGCGAGCAGGAAGGACACGCTGATGAGTAAATACAAAAGCAGGAGGGAGAGGTGCAGTTACAACTCCTGAAGCTTCCTGTCTTTCAACACATTAGGTCTGTGCTTCAGTCCGACTCCAGGCAGCCTGGAAAACCTGGGAACTCTAAACTGTTTTCCAGTCCTGGAAAACTCCCCAAGTTTATAGATCAGGACCTGAATAAAAAACACTGTAAATACACAATGTAAACATAAAGTCTTTATGAGGGTCAGATTTTTCTTTCCCCTCAGTGATGTTTTACACACATCGTGTCTGAAACCAAACTTTTACTCCCTTCATGCATTAAAGTCTCTGTGCAGAAGCTTTTAACGCAGACTGACTTTGACTTTTTCGTGCTTTCTTTTTAAACTACCAGTCACATGAGTGACTAACTGGGCTTTAAATCCAGGCGTCGTATCAAAGGCGCTGTCAGGTGAGGCTGTGGCATCAGAAGCTGAGTTCAGGTGTCAGCACGTTCAGTGTGATTCAGGAAGCCGGGTCAGTGTTCGTACACGGACATGCTGGCGTTCAGCTCACTCAAGCCTGGGCTGTGGCCCCTGATGTTCTGTTTCCGTTCAGTCGGGGTGCTGGAAGCCAACTGAGATTTCTTTTACATACGTTTATTTTCATTGGCAGCATTTAATATAAACACGTGTCGCCAGTGTAACGTGAGAGAAACTAACATCGGCCATCATCGGTCTCACACCAACCTGCCCTTTCCCTCCTGCTGCCACCCCGTCACTCGTCTCCACCTGGTCTCCAGGTGTTTAAACTCCACCTTCACCGTTCCACCATCTATTCAGTCCTCTTCTCCACCAAACCCACTGAGAATATGCTGTGAATATTTTGTCTTCAGCACCAGTGTGAGCAGACTGTGGTCACTGTAGGCTGACTGCTTCATGATGATATAATGTGGAAAAATGTATTTTATAACTGATCATTTGAAGGTTATGGCTGATGCCTGGCTAAGAGCCCAGCAGGGTTATTAAATGTGGCCAAGCAGGCCTTTAAAGTTCACATCAGTCAAGCGGAGGACGCTGTGAACTCGTCAGACTGGAGCCGCTCCAACAGTAAAAAGTTCCTGAAATCTCGTCCCGTTCGTGTAATGGCGTATCCTTCCTTATTTACATGTGTCACATAGCTGCGTTCGCTTCACTTTCAGCAGCGGCTCATTAATCCACGTTACTTTGGTTCTTACTGACTCTTCAGTTTGACACCCGGCCCGACCACATCCTTCCTCAAACTCAAATGCAAAGAAGTACAACCGTCTTTCTTTCGCTCTTACAGTAAAACTAAAATAGGTGTGGCGTGACTAAACACTGCCAAGAAAGACAGAAGAGCCCAGAGGAAGTACACATCAGAAGTTGTTTTATTAAACATATAAATACAAATTTAAACAAAGGAAGTGAAAAAAAAGTTCATGAGCGAAATCTCTAAAACAGAGTCGTGGATCAGAGTCTGTGAGGAAGTGACCAGAGCTAAAAACATCTTTTAATGACCCTTCGATCAGTTTGTAAAGTCCTCGGCTGGATTTGAAAGGCCTAAAATATGTTGCAAAAACAAGAGTAGGAGCAGAGTGGACAGGCCGGTTAATCCACGCTGCGGGAATCTCAAACAGAGCCTCCGAACCCCGCGGATCGTCGGCAACAACAAACCAGGCGGGAGGTCACCTTCCAGCCGCTCCTCATTTGCCTCAACTCCTCCAGAACGAGTTCAGACTGGAAAAAATTTGCCCTGAGGTCAGCGAACGCATCATCAGAGATAAGACTTTTAGGAAAAGGTCTCTTTAAAAGCTTGGACCCTGAAAGGCGTCCACTGACCTCCGCGTTTCACTGTGGAAAAGCTGGCGGCGGCTGTGCGATCCACCAACGACTGAGCCCATAAACCAAAGCTTTGGTGGGTTCAGTCGCAAATGTGAAATTTTGTACTTGGAAAAAATCTGATTTTCCAAGTTTTTTAAAGCCAAACTTGCGTTTACTGACATGATGGACTGGAAATCATTAAACTTTAAAAGGGATCGATCAGCTGATCATTAGTTGATCTTCAGTCCAAATGTTTCACGCTTAAACTTTTCCAACGACTCAGCTGTAAGACTGTTACATTTACATCTTTAACTCTAAATACTCGGTTACGCTTCCACCAGTGGAGCCGATCGAGGCTCCAACAATCGAACCAGTGTCGATTAAACTGTTAACGATTGATTAAGAATCTGTTCTTAGTTCATTTTAAGCAAATCTCTTCATAAAGTTCAGTTTCAGGGTTAACGCGTGGGCTCCTCAGAGGGTTGGATTTCTGCAGAGACGAACAGCTACAACCTGACACCATCGCATTAACCCAGACGAGTCAAACACGACGTGTTTGACTGTGGCAACAATTTTCCCACCATTTCAGCGCCGCGACGTTCTGCTGAAAGTGTCCTCGCTTTGTAAAAAGGAATTTGGCGTAAACAGCGTTTGGACAGCGTTACGTCACATTAAAGTCTGACAGCGTGCAGGCGTTGCCGTAAAGCTGAGCGTTTAGCCTGTTAGCTCACAGCGCTCGAGTTCCCTCGCATCATTTAAATCTGAGAGTCTCCGATGTCAGAGACCGACACGCCCCTCCTGCAGCGAATAAACGCTGTTCACGAACGGCTGATTGTCAGAACAAAACCTGAAAACTCCTCACTCCTCTTCCTCGTGACGTAAACGCAACTTTATTTTACTCGCCGTGACGCATGCAGGACTTGTCAAACAGGAAGTCCTGCGGAGTACATTCAGAGCGAGCGCGGGGCCCCGCCCACTCACACAGGTGGAGGTAGGAGCGTTTGGTTGTCTGAAAGGTTGTGTGGAAATTGCCGAGTCGACCTTTAACCTCTCGCAGACACATGGCAGAGGAGCCGACATTAAAAAAAAAAATAGAAGCGCTCTCAGAAGTTCAACTGGAATCTTTTTATTTACAACCCAGAAAAGTGGACGCTCGAGTTCTGCTCTCTAATCCGGCTTCACATCAGCAGCTCATTTTTGACCTTCTTCTTCTTCTTCTGTCATTTATTCGCCGCACTCAGCTCATCATCACAGCTGACCCCACCCACAGACGTTGGCGAACATTACTGAGCTCGTCTACATCGGTGCATCTAGATCAGTGCAATGAAAAAATATCAAATCTGCTGCACAATAAAGATCTCAATCCAAACAAAGATACGAAAAAAAATTTTTTAAAAAAGGAGATATTTAGGTTTTGTTTTTTTAATTTGTGCCCCGAAGCACTTGCACGCACTGCTCATGAAAGACTGATGTGGCTTCTGGGCATGAACATTGAAAATGATGCATTCCTGCTAATGCCCAACAGGGGGCGACTCTTTTACTTACTGCTCACTTGACCTCTGACCTCAGCTGTACTTTCCTGATAAGTTTATGGTCAAAGTCACTCAGTAAAAGTCGCCAACTGAATGTTTTAAAACAAGACGTTTCAAATTAATGGGTGATGTCCATCTTTTATATACAGTCTATGATGGTGTTACAGTTTCCATGACAAAACACAAACTTGATGATTTAAGTCCAATTTTTGATTTAAATAGTAAAGAAAAGCCTGAATCATTCTGAAAGAACCTCAGCTGTGCACAAAGGTAACGCTTTGACTGTCAGATGAAGACTGAGGACGTCACGTTCTGTCCAACCTTCTCATATCTGCGGTTTATTTCATCACATCAGCAGATGTGAAAGAATCAGAGCAGGTGTTTAGTTTTATTTATTTGTAAGTGGAATTAAAAATCTGTAGATTCAGGAGGTGGAAACGAGGAATCGTGAAGCAAAGAGAACGACAAAAAAAAAAAAAGAATCATTGGACATAAACAAGATTACATTTATTTTAAATTTTCTGCCTCAGGCACAGTTTCTCACTTCCAGCTGTGTTCACATCTGGCAGGTGTGCAGCAAACTCAACATTTTTCCATCCAGCTCAGAAAAACCTCCTTAAACAACTCGGCACTCAGTGAGAAGCACAAACTGGGATCGTCTCTGACATCACGTTAGTGTCTGCAGCCCGGGCGGAAACTTTGTAGCTGACCTGTTGATGCACATCTGTACTCCAAACACACACACGTCTGATTCGTCCTCCTCTTGGTCTGCTGGTTTATTGTCGACTTCCTGTCTGATTTTTTTCTGACAAATGAAAAGAGAGTCTCTAAAAATCACGTCTCATGGCTCCGATCCTCGGTAAGTGCTCTGTTGGGGTTCTGCTCAGAGCGTGGCTGGGTTCAGTTTCTCAGTGTCCTCGGAGACCCTCCAGTGTCGCCCTCCGGCTCGCAGCAAAGCCAAACTGCTCGTGTTCAGTTCAGAGAAACGAGAAACAAGAAATCCTCCCCCCTCCCGCCCCTAAAACCCCAGACCCTCCCGCCCTGCCCGAGCTCACTCAGCCCGCCCGCTCAGCCTCATCTCTGTCCATGAAGTGCCGATACAACAGGGGGCTGCTGGGAGCCGTTGGGCTGGGAGACGGGGGGCCACATAGGAGTCTGTTGCATGTGGTGGTAGTGATTGTGATGCATGTGGTGGCCCGTGGGCGATGACGGGGGCAGCCAGGCCGGCTGGTGGCTGGGTGGCGAGGACGCCCAGAAGGAGCCGAATCCCGCCGTGGAGGAGTGAGTCGGTGGAGAGCACGCCATGGACGCCTGGGAGGGCCCACTGCCGGAGCCACACTCGGACGCCCGCAGTTTGGAGAACATGGTGATGGCATCGGGGAAGTTGGGTGGCGTGGCGGGGGTGTTTCTGGGAGTGCACATCTGCAGGAAGAGGAGAGAGAGGGAGGATGGTTTCAAAATAAAAGCCTGGAGGACTTGTTGTAAAACTTCAAATGCTTTAATGTGAAGTCAGAAGAAGAAAAACCTGAACTGTAAAGAGTTGGAGCTCTGCTGACACACACACACACACACACACACACACACACACACACACACACACAGAGCGAAGGAAAGTCAAGAGGGCCATTGGATGACCCAGACTTTCTAAGGCTGCTGGAGGCGGAGCCACACATGCTGCTCAATGAAAATAAGATTATTAAACAGCTTCGTTTTAATGAGGTCAGCAGCTGCGAGTCTGCAGACAATAAACCAACACGGTGGAACCAAAACCCGAGCCACGACGACACGCTGGCTGCACCCATATTTATATATTTTTTTATGTTTATGGTTTACTGGGGGGGCAATAACCGTCTGTTGGCAGGTCGCAGGAACTTCCTGGAGTCTCCACCAGCGCCCGAGATAAAACTGACATTAATTACCCTCCATATGTGGTACAGATGGTTGAACCCGAGTCTCAGGTGCAGACCTTTTAGCCCTTCCCCTTCCTTTTACGGCCCATCTCATGATGTTTAGCGACGTCAAGCACACCGAAACAAACAGAGTTGCGCCTGCAGCCACAGATCTGTGTCACCAAAACAACAGCGGGATGACCACAGTGACTTTTACGCTGCCTGTTGGAGCTCCGCCTTCTCACATGTTCACGTTGAGCCGGCGAAAGGCCTCCTTCCCGACGTAAACAGCCGGGTGTGTTGTTTCAGCGCTGAGGTGCACGGCGTGCAGAGGCGGTAAACCTGCGGGCATTTTCCTGCTGCTGTTCAGGCCTGATCGGCGTGTTCGTTACAAACGGCCTCGCCTCTGTAGATTTCCCGTGAGCCTCGGAGAACCGGTTCTGTGGTGTGCTGCGTGTTGATGCATCGCACCGATGACGTTGGACCAAGAACAACACCAGCTTGCCGGGCGCCACGTGACCTCACACAGAGCCAAATAATCAAACTTTTACTTACGAGTCAAAAATGATCCTCAGGAACAGGATTGATTGGTTCTTATTAACTCTCTGAGGCGCTGCTGCACGTGCACACACGCTCTCTCATTAATCTCCGAGGCGTCTAAGAAGGAGAAGAAGCCGCTCGGCTGGTTCCCGCGGAGCTTTTTATTTCCTCAAGACTTCAGTGTTATCTTTAATAGTTCATCACTTTACAGACACATGTGGATTCCCATTTCCCCCATACTCCGAAAAACTGTTTGTACTCAAAATATTTTTTACATTTTTCTAAAATATTCCACTAAATTTGTCAATATTTGTTCTTACGGCAAAAAGTCCAAACTCTGCCATTTTCTGAGCCTCAAACAAACTCATTACTTTCACAATAAAGGCTCCACATCGCTGCTCCCTCCTCCTCCTGTGCACCCCGGGAGGAAGTTGGGCAGCTGATGCTCGCTCAGAGCGCTGAGTTGCTTCAGTGCAGATGATGAAGATGATGTCACCCAAAATAACAACAAAGCAGCCTGCTGCCTCAACATGCCCCCCCCTCCCAACGCGTGCACACAAACCAGAGGAGGAGGAATGAAAACAAAACACGCCTGCTGCAGGCGTCCCAGCACGACCGAGGATCAGATCCAGGGAGGCAGAGGCAGGAGATTTAATGAGAAGACACACGCACACACACGCGCACACACACACACACACACACACAAACACACACACGCACACACATGCACACGCGCACACACACACCTGTCTGCTCACTGTGACGCAGGTCTGCACATTTTCTCTTTATAAGCTGGTAATTATTAAATTACAGGGCTGCAGTTGGAGATTAAACAGTTATTATGGCTGCACACGCCCGTCGTCCTAACAGCGCTCAAACACAAACACAGCGTCTGTGCGAGCAGCTCGCCCTCCACCTTCTGCTGCTCTCTGTGACTAAACCAACCGGCAGATGCAGGAAGAAGGAATGGCGTGGACCATCGAACTGCTTCCTGATGTCTGAACGGCAGCCTGTGGATCGCCACGCTGAACTATCCAACCACAACCACAGAAGACTTTCATAAAATCGTTGTGTTTAGTAACGTTTTCACGCACTTACCATCTGGTGGTGATGCCCGGGGACGTTGGCCTCCTGGAAGAAGGAGCTCAAGGCCGTCTGCAGACAGAAAGAGAGGCAGAAGGACGAGTTACGTTTCCACATGGAGAGCAAGCAGGACGCATTCATTTCCCCCAAAACCTCAGACAGGAAGGGCCGCCCCATACCCCCACCTTTCACCATCGTTAACACAAAGGGCTAAACGTATCATCTCCACGCTGGGACCTGAAACTGAGTCATCAGACCGCAGAGACTCTTTTTTCTGCAGAGCTGCTGGGAGTGAAACCTCGAGGGAGGCGAACAAAAACCAGACTTTCTGTTTCTGAAGAAATGATCTGCAGCTTCCTGCAGAGCTGACAACATTTTTAAAGCCACGGAACGAAAACGAGCTTATTTCACAGCCAAACCACCTGAAGCAGCCGAGGTCATCGCGCCTGGAAGCTTTGATAACATACCCAATAATCACTGAAACAGGAAAACTGATCAGTTATAAAAGGACTGACTTATTTATGATCATGGACTCATGTGTCACATCATTTTTCATTTCCTGTCTCGGGGCATTAACCGCCAGAGACAACCTCACAAAACCCAAAAAGACGTTTAGTTTCATGTTTGCAGAAACACGCTGAAAGTGTTCGGATTTAAGCAGCTGTGGCGCAGAAACACTGGCAGTGAAGTAAGAAACAAAGAGTCTCATCAGCGTCTCCTGTTTCGTCCTGTGTGACATTGAGCTGGGTTGGACTGACTCAAACGCTCGTATCTCTGAAGGTCTGCAAGTTTTCAGAAGACAAAACACGAGCACTCGTCGAACTTTTCCAGCTTTCCCTCACAGCAGCCTGAAATGTAAACAGTGCGTCTCCTGATTGTGCAAACAGGGAAACGAGTTGGCTTCACGTACTTTGTCTCTTTGTCGTCTTTGTTGTGAACTCAAACGCACGCTGTGATTGCAGAAGGAGAAACACCGGGCCGACCCAACGCTACAAAACATTTCCCGAGGACCCAAGGGACCCCCCCCCCAGCAATGTTGCGGGGGGTGGAGTCATCCCACAGGTGGGAACTGACCAGGAGGGGACCACTTTAGACTTTCCATTCCCAACACTTAAAACTGAGACAGCCAGTTTCTGCACTAAGGACTCGAACGCCTCGGAGCTCCACTGTTCCCAGCATCTTCGACGTGCAGGAACATTAAAACCAGCACAATATTTAACCGTGCATAACAGATAAAAATCACTGAATGTGGTGTTTGCTGAGTTCAATGTCTGCAATAACTGTGGGACTGCAGAGCTCCTGTGGTCTGAACAGGGAAGCGTGAGCTTGTTTTGCAGCTCAGTTTCTTCTTTTTTGTTCCCAACACTTGAATGAATGCCGTGCCCTTCCCTCCCCCTCCCCCCAGCCGTGGTTGTTTAACAACAGCGGTGGCGCAGGAATGTCTGCCGTACAACGTGACACCCATCTCAAAGAGCGAAAGTGCTCGGCCGCTATTGTGCAAAGAGCCGCTCTTTGTCTCGTCTCGTTTAATTTTCTGGTTTGTTGCAGGAAACTCTGTAACCTGCGAGTGTCTTTAAAAGTCCTTGCAGAGGGAAAACGGTTCACGGCGGCGTGACGGCTTTTACTTTCACTCTAGTGCCTCATGACCAAGGACAAAAAAAAACCGAAGCTCCAACAGAAAAAGAAACTTCCTCTTTCAGCAAAGGGGCAAACCGGGCGGTTCGACAGGAAGTTAATCAGCAGCTATTTTCACTGTCATTGTAGTAATTTTACAAAAACAGCATGAACACATTTCCTGCTTCAGGCTCCTCACGTGTCACTGTGTTCGCTCAGAACGAGTCAACACTGTACAAACACAGTCAGCATCATCAACATGATAATCAACACAAAACACTCATCTGGACCTGCCAACGTCACTCAGCGCTCGGGTCTGTTTTCAAAAGCTTTCTTTCCCCTCAAACAAACTTCTTCCACCAACTTTGTTACTCCAGTTACTCGTCCACAGGTTAAATCTCAGGATTATTTAAGGTCCGTGCGTCTCTTCTAGGGCTGCCACGATTTGTCGACTAGTCACGATTACGTCGACTATCAAAATCGTCGACGACTGATGTAATAGTCGACGCGTCGTTTGAAGCTTTCTAAAATCCCAAAAGACGCAGGAATAAGTGGCAGGATTTAAGAGTGTAATAACGGACTGAAACAGAAGATGGCAGCACTGCATGTACAAGGATGCCAGCTGCCGTTAAACCCCGAAGAAGAAGAAGCAGCTGTGTCCCAGAATTCATAGCTAAGCCCAGCTTAGTTTCCAACAATGGCGGCAGCTAGTTAGTTTAATATTACTCTTATTATTCTTTCTGGGTCACAAAATAAACGTTTAACATATTTTCAGGCGAGAATGTAGCTGTGTAAACCTCAAATATCGGCTCAGTTTATCAAGACACCGCATATTTTCAAAAGCGCTCCGACGTTTTCGGAGACGTCTGTTACCCACTAGCTCGATAGCTAGCCGGGGGCTAGGCTAACTAGAGCCGTGAGAACACCGGACTCCCGGCAAATTGTTTTCAAACCCACCGCCGTCTTTCGCGACTCAGGTTAAATATATATGAGTCACTTAGATAACTTAAAAATGTTGTTGTTTGGCTTTTTTCTTTTTTCAGTATTTTATTTGTTCCTGAGTAAATCGGTTTGGCTGAGATTAAAGTTATAGTTTTTACACAGCTGAATAAACGTCAAGCAGACAGCTGATTATCAGAAGTGTGAGATGATCCAGAATTTACTCCGGTGTCCTGTTATATTTTAGATAGCAAGGAGTTTATTAAACTTTACCGAAACAATCTGCAGATTTCATTAAAATTTAATAAACTATCATCTTGTCTTTATTTTTAGTTAGCACAGACCTTAAACACTTAAAGCTGTAAGCTAATGATAGTTATATAAGAGCAGATGCTGCTGGTGCAATAAGCTGTAGTTTTACGTCCAATGGATGATGATCTGATTAATCGACTAATCGCATAAATAATCGGTGACTAGTCGACTATCAAAATAATCGTTTGTGGCAGCCCTAGTCTCTTCACAGCCGGCTGAAGGTCTGTGGTCACGCGGTTCCTTAACATCATTCAATCTTTCCCCATAAATGTAAACTTTGAAACTTCTACTCTTGGGTCTGTATGATGTCAGTGAGAGGCAAGTGACACAGGCAAGATAAATACAGATTATTTTTGACCTGTGAGTCAGCAGGACATCCAGCGTGAACGTAAACACCTGGATGATTGTTCTAAAAGAGGAAATTGTCCACAGAGACTGAACGAGTTTGTGTATCAGGCTGTAAACCTGTTGATTTCTGCTGGAATGCTCTAACATGGGAGTCTATGGGGACTGACTAACTGCTGGAGCCTCCAGTGGACGTTAGAGGAACTGCAGCTCGATTCTCTTCATTCAGCAAACACCAAAACAAAATAACAGCCTGCTGTGGGGACATGTTAGCGTGGGACTGAGGTCTGACTGCAAGTCCGGCATCTCAGACGCGAGGAACGCCCACATCCTTCACACCAAGGTTGCGCCTCTAACCCGTGCTTCTCCCTCAGCGTTGTCTTCCAGGATTCAGCTGTATTATGTTGTCCAGGTAACGTGAAGGTTAGTGACTCACCCCAGAGACACAACAACACTCCTTAATCCCAGTTTCCAGTCACACAAAGTAGCAGTGCACAGCACTTTTTCCAAATAAACAAGTCAGCCAATCAGAGTCATAACCCCAACTCCTGACAGTACTCCAAACATCACCACCGCCTCCTCCCCTCCCGGTGCAGCACCTGGCTGCAACAGACAGAGGCGTGGAAGCTCAGGTGACCGTTAGCTGTTCAGCAGGTCAATGCTGCGTATGGGTGCGTTTGATGAAATGTCAGATGTTCTGGGAGGTGGTCAAGGAGAAATCATCCACACAAACGCAGACAGATGGGAGCAGAAGTTGTAAACAGGACCTGGGTACACCTAAATCTTTTTTTTTATCCTTTATTTATTTCATTGAATAAGAATAACGTTCACAAATTGCTGTGAGGTGACGCAGCACAGAACCGTAGTGAAACAACTTTTCAGGAATGGCTGATGGACTGCCAATCCTGCCTTATCAGGCTCAGCACAGTCTGTGCATTTCTGCTTTTTAAAGGTGGGCCAAAATAAAAATGTCAGGCTTCTTCCAGCGATCCAGTCTGAGATCATTCAATTAACATTTTGGATCCATGAAAAGGAAAATCCCCAAATCTTAATCCGATCCACAATCTGTGATCGGTGGTTAGAGAGAGGCTGAGGAGGATTCCAAACACGAGTGCGAGTGTGTTTTCTTCATAAGCTGGCGAAAATACAGCGCTCTGTGCTGCAGCACATGAAGGAAACAAGCTCGGGCCTGTTTAGCAATGAAAGAGGAAACCAGTGAGGAGCAGAGGGAGCCTGACTGTCACTTCATAGAAATTTCCAAGTTTGTTGTTCAACAAAATCTGATCAATAGTGGCTACTTTTCATTTTCCAGTGAGCACAGAGCCTTCTGTAATGACTTACAGCTGGCCTGTGTATTTACACTGTACGCTTTGTTGAATTATTAGCCTGACCATCACAGGCCCAGTAAACAGTCACGTCCCCGGCATGCGTATCAGATTAATATCATGGGACCCACTTTCTTCATGAGAGGGGAAAAAGAGGAGAACCAGCAGCTCAACCACGCATTTTATGACTCCCACTAAACACAACGAGCAGCTAAAGGCTCGTCTTCTGTTATCCGCTGGCCTGCCTCGCCCTGTTAGAGGAGGACTTCTCGGCTTTGAATCATAGTTAGAGCCACGAGCGCCACGTTGGGAAAACTGCGAAGAAACAGCTCAAACTGACCTCCACCAGCCAGCTTCAACTTCTAATAGGTGTTAATGGCACACGGAGGTCCGTGTATAGGAACAGCTGGAAGGATAATGCATCTTAATCGGTCTATATATAACCGAGAAGCACCGGGATCAATGTCAGGGCGCTTAGCGGGGAGCACGCACGGTCTGACCTCTTTATCCGCTCCGTGAAGCGGACACAAACACGCAGAGAGCCGCTCGCTGTGCTTCCAGAAACTCACACAGGAAACGTGATGAAACGATTGTTTTTGAGCTGGGCAGGGAGGGGCTGATCCATCAGATCACCCCGCGAGCTCTGACGGTAAACAAGCCTGACCTGTAGTTTATGATCTGTGAGTAATGCGAGCGGATGAAAAACAGCGCATCTTATCTTATCAGCATCTCCACGCCAAAATAAACACCGCTCTACTCTAGCCTTACACAGCCCTGGTCCAACCCGAGCGCACTACCGCTCTGCCCGGCTAACAGCAGCTAGCTTAACGGCGAGGCGACGGAGAATGTAAACAAAAAGCATCGAACACCACGTCCTCAGCGCGGCTAGGCGGCTAACGCTAGCCCCGGGAGCGCATGGCAGCGAGGCAGCACGGGAAATCCTCAAAACAATCACCACAGCGAGTTCACGGGCACCTCTTTGTACACCAAATCACGCGTGGGGGTTAATAAAAGGACTCAACGTGTAAATAAACCTCCCACTCACCTCGAACTGCCAGTGGGCCGCCTGGAGGAGCTGCTTCGCCTGATCCGCGGCGCAGCCAGCCGTCAAAACAAACTGGTTTATCATCACTTGGTGCCTCAGTTCTTCCATATTGACCGACATGGCTGCTCCCGCGGCTCCTTTACAGACAAAAACTGCCACCTTTTTTTCTAAAAAATAAAAAAAAATGATAATAACTAAACCCGGACCTGAAGGAAGCCCCGCGAACCTTCCGTCCTTCCTGCTCGTCTGTCCGTGAGTCTCCGCAGCAGCAACAACAATGTTTTCATGTCATCGCAACAACAAAGAGCAACGCGTCACTGATTGGACGACTCCACGGCGAGAGAGTACTACAGAGGCGCTGATTGGCTATCGATGAAACGAGTTTAAATTTCTTCGGTGCGCTGGTTTTAAGTGTTAGGACTGTGTCGGTGGGTGGAGTCTTAAATAGGGGTGAGTGAAAACCGTCCACGCCGCCCTCAGTGTTTGTCGAGTAGGGTTACACAAGCGCTTTCATTTGTGTTCGTTACGCTGACGTAATGTTCGATCGGCCAGTTGCCGTAAACTCATAGAGCCGATTGGCTGCTTCCTCACGAGCTTCACACGTGTAAACACTGTAAATATTTTGTTTTATTTTTTGAAACATATCCCGTTCATAGAGTCAACCCGAGAAAGACATAATAAATTAAATACATTTTTAAAATTTAATTTTATAATTTATTTAACTGACTGCCTATATTTTTCTCATATACACCACAAAAACCTGATATATCAAAAATACATTTTAAATTAAATAGGCTACTATAAGGAGTGTGTTACATAATACACGAAGGTTTACTTTGCGTTTGCTTTTGTATTTATCAAAACTGTAATATATACTGTAGTAATATGAAACAACACATTTCGAACACAACCGATTTATTCAGTAATTTGTTTCCACAGTAATGCAGAATATTCATGAGAATTACAGGGTATTTTAAAGATATGTGTTAATTTACAAACGTTTTGATGTAAGAGATTTTTCTGTTATTAGTACATAAAGTCCAGGATTTAAATAATTTAATTGCTTTTATTAATAAATTTTTCATATAAAGAATATTAAATGTTGGAATCCAACTAACTTGAATTTGCCTATTAACAATAATAAGACTCATCCATCCATCTTCATCCGCTTTATCCGGGGCCGGGTCAGGGGGGCATGAGTAATAATACTGATATGTACGTGTCTGTTATTCATGTATGTCTAGTTTTTCACTACTTTTTCTTTTTCTGACCACATACACATGTCTTAAATGTGTATGCTCCATATAATATGTCATATCCTATAAACGTGACTTACATTGATGTTTTTCTGAAATAAGGAGCTAATAATGAAATTGATTTTGCCTTCACAAACATCTTAGTTGTTGTTGTTATTGGACAATAAACCAAAATTAACATCTCAGGAGCACATCAAAAATAAATCATGCTGCTTTATAAATGATGAAGCATAATCTATTTAAACACTAACGTGACAGCGAGAATGTAAAGAAGGACATGAAACTGATCTTTGTATTGATATCCTGACCCCTTTTCACCACATGAGCTTGCAGAGACGTTTCTAGAAACTTTTAAATGGTGTGGCCCCAGGGTGGCAGACTGTAGTTCCTCCAACATCCACTGTCAAAAAGCTGACCGGACTTCTGTAGCTTTCGTGAGGACATTTGATTTCCCATCCGAGAAGCTTCTTCATTTCTAAAACCAAATGGCGGCATCTCCATCTGTGAACAGTTCAAAGATGGATTTGTAAGTTACAACGCCAACTGTCTGCCACCTACAAAACAGTTTTGAGACCCTTCCCAGGTGCCTCAACCTCCACTCACGTTTTGCATCAGTTGATCTCAATGATGATGGTGTGAGGGAAAGTCTCACAATGGATTCACCCGAAACCTCTGTTGATAATGACCCACGCCCTTTTTTCACACCTTCGCTCATGCTAATAGTGGGTCAACGACCCTCTTAAGGGATAACTCCCATAGACTTTAAACGCCTCCACCATTTGGTTTTAGCACTGAAGATACATTTTGCTTGAGACCCCAAAAGATTCCGTTTTGATTCATGATCAATCGTCCAGGTAAGTAAATCCCCAAAGTTTGATTCTGTTCATCTGGATGTAGAGTTTTCAAACGTTTCGTCACTCATCCAAGTGACTTCTTCCGTCTCGCTACGTCCAGATGAACAGAACCAACAGTGATTCACTTACCTGGATGACTGAGCAGGTAAAATGTCTTCACAGAATTTTAAAAAGTCTTTCCAAGCTCCTTAGATTTCCGTGACCTGGATAACTGAGAACCTACACAGATATATGTGGATGCATCTTACTAACCACTAACTTAGCACTCCAACATCTAACCTAAACATGGTCACTTCTGGCTTCAAAAACCAAGATGGCTGCAGCTAAAACTCTAACACAGAGACTTCAAACATAGAGTCATGTTCCAGAGAATAATTCTGCCAGAGATCAGTAATATCTTCCCCACTCGCTGCCTGAGGAGGGTGCACAGTATCCTGCGGGACCAACATCACCCTGCGCGCCACCTTTTCCATCTGCTGCCCTCAGGGAGAAGGTACAGGTCTATACAGGCCAGAACATCCAGACTGGCCAACAGCCTGTATCCACAGGCTGTGAGGCTCCTGAACTCTCTGCCCCCCTCTCACGGACAATAACCATATCCAACTTCTTAATAGCAATGAACTGGTCTGCATTGGTGCATCATATCTTTATTCTCTCCCCCCCCCCCTCTTTCTTAAATAGACAACCATCATATCTCACAGTACAATAATATTGAATGGGTTGCATTGTTGCATTTTGTCATGTTTCTCAGGTCTTTGTCTGAATGTCCTATGAACATTACCTGTCTTGTTCTCATGTTGTTGCTAAGGATTGTCTCATTGCACTGAAGTCACACTGGGTTAAATATTTACACTTGGGTTTTAAGGTTTTTTTTTTTTTTTTTGGGTTTTTTTACGGGTTGCACGGAAGCCCCAAACGCAATTTCATTGTTCTTTGACAATGACAATAAATAAATACTTGACTACTTGACTTGACAGGGGGTACATCCATCTTTGATATACAGTTTGTGGTTTCCACTGGTAACATGCTGCATTTTTCTGCAAACACTTTTAAAATTTAAAAAGCCTTTTGCATGATGGGCTACAGATAAAAGGAACAAGTGTTTGTGCTTGGATGAGCGTCGTGGCTTCGACACGAAACACTATCAGCCTGTCCCCTCAGAGCTGAGCTCCAGAGGACCCACAGTGACGGTTCTCCTGATGAACACTGATAATCTTCTTATCGGGGCAGAGCAGCTCTCGGCTGCAGGCTGTCCGGCTCTCTTTCTGCCATCAGGGGAATAATTCAGCCCTGCTGCAGGTGAAGGAGCATGTGGCACAGGAGGGCATCTATTATGTATTATTGGAGGAAAGAGGAAGACTATAGGGACACAAAGCTCCTGACAGGCTTCAGCAGGTCTAGTGGTTCTGTTTGCTCATGAGAACATCACAGCAGATGGACCTGCTCTCCTTTTGCTTTATTACCTGTCAGGTATCTCAGTTCAGGAGCTGGATGTGCAGATTAAACATGGCCAAAGTTTCAGTTAATGAGGTCAGTGTGTGTGCTGTAATCCTCAGGATTCAGACTGCTCTGAACGCTCAGTCGGTCACAGTGTTTTCTAATCTTGGCTCTCTGTGATGTCAGAGAGGGAGGATACATATAATTTAGTCCAAAGACTGTATATAAATGATGGATGTAGCCACTGTGATGGCCCCCACTGGAGGCTTCGCTGGTCTGATAGTCTTTGTGTCCTTGAGATACTTAAAGACGACAGGTCGTGTTAGTTGGTGGTGTGATGTTTGCAGCTGCTGCCCGAATTCCTCAACTTTTATTTCTGTCCAGTCTTAAACTTGACAAAGAGCACTCAGCTCTGATGATCATGTGAGTCCTCATTGTGTCAATTACACACAGACAGGGGGGCATATACACAGGAAACAAGGCTGGTCCCCAAACGGACCGCTGGCGCACATCGAGCCAGGGCGTCCACGAAAAATGATTTTAGTGCAAAGACGCCGACGTCCCTTTCTTTATTTTTATTCTCTTATTCTGTAATATTTTTATTTCTGATGCTTGTTTCGTGTTTGTTGTGCTCAGCCTGTCTTTTATCTGTGGAGCACTTTGAACTGTGTGAACATGCTGTTTGTGTCCTGATTCGCTGGCTGAGGCGACACCATGTTCAAAACAAAGTGTGTCGGTTCTTATCTCTGAATAATTCCTTCAAATGCAAATATTCCTCAGATCTTTGGAATTCTCTTCAGAAGTGGCTTCAGGGCAGTAAAATTAAATCGAATGTTGTGAAAAGTGATGTTTTATCAGCGAGCGGAGACTTTTTAACCTGCATTTATCTCTGGTGCAATATTTGTCATCTGTTAACATATTTATTGAATTCTCAGTGACTCACAGCCACTAACTGACCTGACCTTTAACTTGTACTCATCAAAGGAGGGGGGAACAACTACGCTGTAGTGCCTCTTCACTTCACTGTGCAATACTTTTGTTAATAGTCAACGGTGCAATAGACTCCATACTTGAAATGTGCAATTCACTTGTATTTTTATTTTTATTCCTATTTATTCTATTTATCCCCTTCGTATATTTTATTTATATATGTCTCTGTATTTATATATGTGTGTGTGTGTGTGTGTGTGTGTGTGTGTGTGTGTGTGTGTGTGTGTGTGTGTATAATATTCTGTTACTCTGTAACTTCTGTCGGTGCTGTGCTTTTGGAAACCGAATTTCCCAGAGGAACCCACCCGAGGGATTAATAAAGTTTTATCTTATCTTATCTTATCTTATCTTATCTTATCTTATCTTATCTTATCTTATCTTATCTTATCTTGTCTTATATTCTCGGTGGGGGATGTTTGCTCATAGGTGAGGGTTTGTCTCTGAGCGGATGTTAAAAATGAACCTGAGCAGTAAAACAAAAGCACATTTGGATTTCATCCAGCAGGACGAGATGCACTTTTATCCGCCTGCTGGAGACGTGCAGGGCCCCCGATGCACCGTCGTCTCTGATGAAACGGGAACATCAAGCTTTCTGTACCATTGCTTTTTTTCCTTTTCTTGCTTCCTGGAGCTGCTCGTGCTTCATGGTTCCCGTCTGAGCTGCTGCTGAATGTTAGAAAAGTTCAGCTGGGGGTCATCTCACCACCACAGCAAGAGCGGGGGGGTCTGTGAGAGTCAATGGTTAACAGCCGTCTGCACAGCTCAGTATTTACAAAAACACAATGATTATTGACGGAAGTGCTCAAGTACTGCAGAAATACTCAGTTACAC